TAACGAAACACAATGTAACTCAATTTAAAATATATGTATATATAAATATATATGCGATATGAAGTGTTTAATATTGTGCGCGGGTACAGACAACAGCAAGAATTTGAAAGTTTCTAACTCGGTTCGACAATTGTTGCGCAAAATATATGCATCTATAATATGTATGTAGTGCATGTGAAAAGAATCGCATTGTTATCGGCTACAGATCCGTAAGCTCAATAGAACTTCTGATTGGGTTATTTTGACACAAACTACCATAAAATCGATGTTATAAGTATCCATAAAATTTACCGGATAATTGAGATTGTAATTATATGCTTAGACTTTTATTGATTTTGGCCTAAAGTTTTAAGGCATTCTACAACAAAGACGTACACTATATTGAACTACAACAAAAGCTTTCAATCAAAATTCAAAACAGTTCATTCTTGTATTTTGTTTAAAATTGTTTGAATAAAATCCTCCTATCTGAAATGAGAGAGGGAGAGAGACATTGACAAATTTGTTAATTTATTTTCATATCGATTTCCCCAGATCAATCGAATTGTAGCGGGTGAAGAAAGCGTATAGCAAAACAATCTAGAAAATGAGTTATGAAAGAGAAACCAAATTCGTTAACAATAAATTTGACATTGACTTCTGGTTCTTGCACATTCCTGGCACGAATCAGACGTGCAGTAAAACATATGCCATATGAAACCGCATAAAACTGCCAGGCCATTATATGAAATGGAATTCCAATCAACTGTTACCATTGCATATTGACAGTATGAATATGTTTGGCTCAAAGTTAACGTGCACGATGGTAGGTGCAATTACTCCTAAAGCGCAACTTTAAGTTATGCAGCGGTACTGTGTATACAGATACACACATATGATTGATTGAATTTTATGATAAATTTTATATTTGAATGCCAGCCTCGATGGGTTATAAATGCGTGCAAGTGAACACTTTTCGTTTAATTCCATTTGTGCAATGCTTCATTATTATGGAAATAACTTCTTTAAGTTTTCGGTTATCTGATATAGGTGCATGGTGCACATATCAAAAATGCAAGTTGATTTTGCCATTTCATAATATGAAACATCAAGTTTTTGTTTTCATTCGTCGTGGAATTAAATTGTAATAATTTGCTAAATCTACGATAGAGTCGACACTGTTGGAAACTTTCAGATCAATATCGCGTGTTTTGGCATTAATTTTTGCTCTACTTGTCTCGGACGCCAGAGGTGTAAACAAAACAAAAATTTTCTTGTGCTTTGAATTTCATTTCCTATCTTCATTGTGTTTAAGCGGAATGCAACATGTAGCTGCACTCAAAGAACACATTAAGGCTGAGCTGTTAACGAGTTGCATTGAAATCATTGAAAAATAAAGTTAATGCATGTTAAATCTGCTCGCTTCCGAAAGGTTAAACTGGGTACCATTGATTGCAAGATTATCTTGAAGAAAATTGCTCTTACACCCTGTAAAAAAGGCCAACACTACAAAAAACATTATGCGAAACTGCTCAGGTGTTTCATCAGACTGCAAACGCACATAAAACAACTTCGTCTTACTTATTAGACGCAATGCATGACGCACAGCTCATACACAGAATGTAAATTTGACTATGAACTTGCATTCAACCTTGTTCACGATTCCACGGATTCAATCCACGGAAAATAAACAACAAGAAAGAGACACAGCAATAAGAAAATTATACGCAAATTGTTTTCCTTCACATTAAACTTGAAAAATGATCTCATTTTTATTATTGCAATATGCAATGGTATCCACGAAAAATGTTACTCGTACATTTGGCTTCTGTGCACGTTTAGTGAACACAAAAAGATGTAGAGCATGATGAAATGACTACACTACTCCGTTGAAGAAGAAAATATACGTTCTCAACTTGTCTATTTCCAGGGAAAAAATACCTCTTCTAATTCGATTTGATGGAAAGAAGGTGGGAGTCTCGAAAAAACAGCATTATTATTACTTTGAAAAAAAAAAAAATGCAAACGAAGAAACGAATTTTGCAGAATACTCAAGTTGAAGATATTTGTCAAGTGGAGAAACCGATGTAAATGAAAAAATGAAAAAAAAATATGTACCCTGCACCATTTTTCTTCATTGTATTTCATATTAAAGCTACATGTTCAAAATTCAGCATTGGTCATTATAATGTGTAAACAAGAGAAAACATATTAAATATCATTGTTTACGGCAAGTGAATGCAATTCGATATACTGTCGACAGCAATATTGTGGTAAGTTATATGATTTTAATTCAATGCATGCGGAGCAAAGACGGAAGTTATCGGTTTAAATCACAGCCTACTCAACAATCTCGAGACAACAAAACCTCAGACAGAGCAGAACATACTTACTTTTTTGGCGCGATCAATGACCTTTTGAAGATCCTTTTTCAACATGCCGATACGAATTGAGATACGAATTTTATAAATATCTCCTCAATGTATCTTACTCAATGGTTGTATAGTTGCGGCTATTTCACACAGTTCCGTATGCATTGTTTTGAACATACCAGAGCACACCGTAATGTTATGCATCTAGAACAGTGTATGCTTTTTATTGGATGTCAAGTATTTGCATACTCGCTGAAATCATATGTATCGCCAGAAAAAAATGCACTAAACAGGTATCGTGTATCGAAATAAGAAAGATAAAAAAGTCAACAAGAAAACTTGAATAGAATTCCGATTGATTATTATTATAGTGACAATTAATAACGTTGGCAGTGATATGAAACAATAACCAACCAACCAGCTAGCCAAACAGCCAGCTAGCCAAACAGCCAGCTAGCCAAACAGCCAGCCAGCCAAGTCAACTGATCGTGAGAGTAGTCAATTTGTGTAATTGTATAAGGAATCATAATCCATATTATATGCACTAATAATACGGACCACGCCTGATGTGAATATATCGACGGAGTAAATAGCAGCAAGAAAAAAGTCGGTATTTATCTCTCTCTCTCCGTCTCTTTCTTTGTTCTCTCGATACCGATTCACCGTTGCTATTGTCACTGAAAATTCCTGTTCTCCCCTTTTTGCTTTCATTTGATAGTAATGCTCTCGTTTAGCTATTTTGCTCCTGTTGATTTCTGTATAAATAGCCCAATCGGATCAATATCAGATCACAATTCACTTGACTCTTAACAGTGCAAAGTGTAGCTAAACAGAAAAAACACAAATATCCAATATGAAGGTAGTTGTGGGTTTGACTTGTGAGAATTTATAGTGTAATCCAATTGATAATTGTTTTTTTCTCGATTTCAGTTCATCATTGCTGTAGTCATGTTGGCGGCCATCGCTAACGCAAGCGTATTGCCTCTTGCATACTCATCACCTTATGCAGTTCCATTGTCGTATGCTCCAGGCATCTCATTGACACAAGGAGTTGCCGGACTCGGCTATGCCGCAGGCCCATTTGCATACAGCTACCCATCAGCCTACAATTTGCCATCAGCCTATAACTTGGGCTCAGTTGCCGTTGCTGCCCCAGTTGCTGCTCCATTCGCTGTTGCCCCAGCCCCAGTTGTTGCTCCAGTTGCTGTCCCAGGAGCGTGAGTATTCTGCCATTCTGCGATCAAGATTAAATATTGTTGATTTCTATCCATTTGTTTGAATTCACAGAAGCTATGTAGCTACCACACGAGGTGCTCAGCACGTGGCTCCCCTTCCAGGCCATATTCAATCAGTTGCATCGTGAGTATTTTCGTACTCTGAACTTTACGTTTAATACCAATCAAAGTTGAATATCACTTAACTTCAATCATTTGCATTTGCAGAAACAACGTCCAACCCGCTCCAGGAACTTTGTAAACAACGAATTCTACCCCGAAATTTCACTTTTTCCCCACCCATCGTCACAGCTTGTTCACAACAAACAATCAACAAGAAGTAAACAGCAGTTTGAAGTATTAAATCTTGTTTATTACTTCAACACACGCGACCTATGAAAAAGTGCAAATTTTAAAAAACAATTCTGTTCTTGTTATATCTGCCCAAAAAACAAATTGTAAATTGAAAACTCAGTAATGGAAAAAAGTACACAACGTAATAAAAAAAAACAAAGTTAAAAACAAAGTGTTTCTATTCTATGGATCGTAGTGTTTCCCAAAATTCCTTATCATTTCCTCCCACGCTTTGCGGTTTCTTTCATCGGCCGGTCCCCAATTGTTGGGTGTAAGTGCTATTCGTATGCGCTGAAATAGCGAATGGCAATGGAGAAGAGAAATTTGAATGAGAACTTCATGCATTTCTATGCTTCGAATTGTGGTACCTTCTTGAATGAGCCATTCATCTTGAACAATTTGTACACAAAGTAAATTGGAATACAAACAATTGATATAAGGCAGCTACTCCACCCTACAGCAATGAGCCATCTTGGGTATTCTATTGAGTTGTATGTGATTTCCGTGTTGAACAAAACAGTGGTTACGAAAATAAACTATATATCCAGAGAAAAGTTATATTGATTGATTGTAATGGTAAGAATTTAATGAAAAAATATTTGACACATACGCTTAAAATGGTCGGTGTAATGTATTTCCAGCAGATCAGCCACCAACCACCTATCGGGCTTCCAATCATAAACTCTATGTCTCGCTTAAAATTTTCGATTCCATATATCCATCCAACGATTATGCATTCACACAAGCAAATCAGAATGACAGAAATTGATGCCGCATACCAATCGAAGAGTTGTAAAATATACATGCCTCCCTAAAACATGGGGAAGTTGTGGATGATTATTTTGAAAATAAAAAAGCATATGCACAAAGTTTACTCTGGTCACAAACAGGATCGAGACAGCAAACATCACGAAACATGACACAAAAGCTACAAGTGATTTATAGGGCCTGAAGCGTGTATATTCGTCGAGCAGTGAAGAAATAATGGCCTCAATTTGCACAAACTAAAATGAAAACATTTCAAAATGAATAAACACCCAATATAAAATTCGCGCTAATAGGTGTTTATAACGTACGACACTGTCCAATCCAAGGAAAAATAGCATCATAAAGAAGAGGATTGCCCAAAACTGTGGAAACGGAAGCATTCCAATCGCTTCGGGGTATGTTATAAACGCCAATGCGGGCCCACCGGTCGCAACTTCCAAAAACGTTCATAGAAAAAGTAAATTTAATAACGGGAAGAAAGTCTAGGATTTAAGAGGCTTAAACTAATATATCAATAGGCACCTGATGAAATGGGTAGTCCAGTCACATGAGACATGAAACCAAGAACTGAAAAGACGACAAATCCCGCAAAAATGCTTGTAGAACAATTCACGATTGGAACGAGAATCGCATCCCTATGAATTGCAAATAAAATAAGAAAAATAAAAAAAAATCACATAAAATATGTTAAAAATCCATCTGAAAAAAAAAATGATGACCTTCTCGATTACCGTTTGCTGTTATTTCGAAAATCATTGTAGCTGGCCATATTTATAATGCCACCCCAACCAGGTCCAAGTGAGAAAAAGATTTGCACTGCCGCATCAGCCCAAACCTTTGAAAATATTTTTTTTTGTTTATTTTAAAGTACATTTTTCAACTTATAATTTAATAAAACTCACTTTCAAATTAGTCAGTTCATGCCATTTTGGCATGATATAGAATTTAATTCCCTCCAATGCACCCGGTAGTGTAATGCCACGGAAAAACAAGATGGTTAGAACGACAAACGGGAAAGTGGCACTGAAATACACCACTTTTCCAACCGATCTTACGCCTTTCATAATGCACAAGTATGTCACAGCCCAAACGAATACATTCGCTGCAAACAATGGCCACACAATACCCCCGATATCACCAATGTTCTCACTTATTTGTAGAATCTCACGACTAGAGAAGTATTATGATGCATTAATAAATGTTCGACACATTTGATCAGACAATCACACGAAAATCAGACTCACTGGAAGAACTCATCGGCTGGTGTTTTGTAAAGTCTTCGATCGAAAGCTGTTATATTACCAATGTGGGTGGGATTCTCAGTGTGTGCTACCTAGTATGAAAGAGTTGGCGCTTTACGCAAAAGAGATCAAACGTAAAAGACAACAAACCTCTAGACAGTGTGGCGTATTCCATGGATTGTTGCAGTGCATCCATGGCAATGTCTTTGCAAAAGACTTGAGAATAAATAGAATCGGGTATGCGATGATCACATTATAATACATCGTACATATAAGATTCACAAGAATAATTGCATAGCCGGCTCCTGTTTTCGAAAATGATTCATTGAAACAACATGAGTACCATAAGTTTGTACTATCAATTGGTCATTACCCTTAAATAGTGGCGCTATACGAAAAATAGTCAAGCATCCGGTATTCGAGAATTGTCCCAAGCACATTTCCATGAAGAATAGGGGGATTCCGCATAGAAATAGCATCAAAAGGTATGGCAATAAGAATGCTCCTGCAAATTGACGCGTAACGTTACTGTTTGTCTGTGAATGTGGTTTTGCTTAGCACTTGAATCGTATACATAATAGTATAGTCCCACTCCACTACAATTATTGTGTGTTTGATTGAAATAAATTAGCTTTATTGGACTTCGGTATTTTGCGGTGACTAAATACGAGTATACATTGGTAATGAACATTTCAATTTGCTTCATGAGACCCATGAAAATGTGTTTTATATACGTTGACATTACACACAAACACTCATGTCCCAATTTATATTATACGTCACAAACAAACCTTTCGCATCACACTGAAAATAAACATCAAACGTGGAATTTTCCACACAAAACCATGTATTATAATGTAATATAATCACCTCCACCGTTGCGGTAGCACCTTTGAAGAAAAATACAGAACGAATTTCATTGAAAAGATTTATCGTTGTGGGAAAACTCATGAAATTGCTACGCACAAGTATGGAAACCGCCAAACGTTACCCGTGCCTATGGCGTAACCTAAGCAGGAGAGTAAAAATTCCGTCTTTGATTTCCACTGCCCTCGATCATTTTCTTTGTCTTTGCTCTTTTGCCGACACGCACTTTCACCATTCAAGCACCTTGGTTTCGTCGTTGAATTATCCATTGGTATTGAGTATACTTTTTTGGGAAAAGAAACTATTTTGACACTACAACCCAAACAATTCGCTGTACCTTTCCAGTTGATTCGAATAATTATGCCAAAGCTCGTTGTGGCAAATCCCAAACCTTCCACTTTGGGATTCAAAATGAGACTAAATTTGAAAATTGTGTTCCAAGAAGATGAACCGATTCTCGTTGAGAATTTACAATGTGGAGAATTGATAAATTAGTCAATGATTTAATCACATCCTATCTCCCTCACTTTGACCATTTTAAAACATAGTGAGGCTGCTGGCCCGGCAAGTTTATGTTGCTTGATCAATTTCTCACAAGATTGCTACGATTTGCGGTGATTCAGAATGGTCTCATTGAATCGCGTTGTGTGCCTTTATCAATAATACTTGCATCTCCCTTTCTCTCTCTCTCTCTCTCAAATGTGAAATTACTGGGGCAAACCATTTTGCATTCTTTTAAACTATGAAGCATAGTTCATACATATATTAAAATTGCATTAAATTGATAAATTATCATAAAAATTGTGTTCAATTGTTGATGCAAAACATTTCAGAGGAGAATGTCTACATGTGATTTTAACTGTGAGTGTAACTTGGGAACTATATAATACGCCGCGGTAATAACGATAGTGTATCAAAAGAAGAGAATTGAAAGAATAGTGTTCAATGAGCTACAATTTATTTCGCTGTTGTGCATACAATTTCTATTCAAACAATTATTATAAAAAACTTTCGAACATACAATACAGAAAGGTTGACATTCAGATACATCGCTTTTAAGTGTTCTACTTAGATTTTTCAATCATAAGACATTATTCTCAAAGAAAAATATCATATGTCGAAAGACTGATTCTCATAGCCTCAAAACATATTCACTGTATAAACAAAAGAAAGATCATTCGTAATAATCATTCTTAACATTCTTAACAGAAAAAAAAAAAATCATAAGACATTACAATTTCTGAGGGCCTATTAACTATTATAAAACTGAACCAAATTGTTCCTGAAAATTTTAGATTTTCCAATAAACTCGAATGTGACTAAAATAAGTTCGATTTGTCAGTTTCTTTAATTCAACCCTTTGCTCTGATTTTCCCTACGTTACTTATTATTTAATTGATCGCATTCGAGGTTCAACGGTAAAGTTCAGAACAAGTGTTACGAATCTTTACCACTTGTCTTCTTTCGCTTGCTCATCAGTGATAAGATGGTTTGACGCATATCTTCGGTGTCTTTGAGCTCTTCTTCAAGTGTTGTTACTTTTACTTCCTGCAATCGACAAAAATGACGACATTAAATGTTAAAAATTGCTTTTGAAAATAATCGAAATAAAGTTCCTACGCACCATTTCTTTATTCTTTTTCGATTCTTGGGCCAGTTTCCGTACGGCTTCCTCATTTTCACCCAAAGATGACTTGATTTGTGATCTCAACGATGTCACTATTGTGTTCAACTTTTCGTTATCACTTCGAAGTCTGTAATAAATTTTGTGTGACAAGCATGAGTATAACAAGATACTTTTTATAGATAGAGGACACTGCGAATCTTACGTTTCAACCGATTTTTGTAGATTCTGACCAAGTTCAGACCATTTCATCGATGTGATTTCCAACTGTAAATTATTACCTTTGACAAGATCGAGCTGCGAACAAATTACAACGTGAATAAATTCTTATTAAAAACCAAACACCACAACGATTTTTCAGCATTACCTCATCGGACACATCTTCATATTTTTTTGTTAATATTTCGATTTTTTGCTTTAGCATAGTGATTTCATTGGTATACAATTCGATGAAATCAGATGTGGGCACTTCAAACTGAATGGAAAAATATATGCAGAAATATTATGGACGTTCATTTGAAGAAAAAAATGGAAATATCACCTTTTCATTTGCGCAGGCAGTTTCGATTTTTTTAAACACATTTTTAACTTTTTCGATTCCGAGTTGCTTACTGAGATCTATGCCTACCGTAGTAGATTTATTGTTTTGTAAAAACAAATGTGGATCGAATAAATTGCTGTCGTTACTCTTTGCCGAAATGATCTGAAAATGGATTTTAATTTGAATGATACCACTATTATCTGGACATTGGATTCTTAAAACTTTTCATACAAACCTCTGAAATCTTCTGCTTTGAAAATCGTTTCATCAACGACAAAGCCAAACAACATTGATCTGAGATTGGTAAAAGGAGAATAAGACGCATGTTATTCGCCATTCTGTTTGACCATTTCAATATGGCATACACAGTACATATTGATCGAGTTCAAAACTATAGAAATTTCTGAATTACCTGTGTTTCCATGCTTAATAGACATTGCAACTAAAAACTGAATATTGGTTTCTTGAAAGAGATTCGACTTGGTTTCAAAAATATTGTTCTCCAGCAATGTAGATAGTGTTGCCAAACATTCCAAATACATATTTATATCGCCTAGGGGCAATTTAAAATAGCTGGAGCTTTCCAATTGGCGTAATGGAGAAAAAATTGAGTCCACCACTTGATTGTTCATCAAGTTCAATTTGTAGTTCTGTGCCAGGACATTGAGCAGCTTGAATAATGGGGCCATCTACAAGCCCACAAAAAAATCAATGGCTCTTAGACAACTGATCAATAGTGATTTTCGTTTAAAAACAATACATACGATAGTGGGATGCCTTTCGTTGCTATAGAGTAACGCCTTTAATGTCTCCTGCATTTCTTCGAGTTCAAAGATGTTTGTACTGATCTTTGCATCTGGAAATAATGAACAATTAGAACAGTATTTAAATATGTGGAAAAATTCCACGCATTGCTATTACAATATATGGGCGAATATACCATTATTGAAAATCGTAGCCAACGTTTCAAGCGCTTGAATGCGGTAAGCGGAATTGCTGAGTCGTTTTATTCCAAAATTTATTACGGTTATGACCAAGCTTTTGAGTGAGTTATCTAAAAAAAATTACGAATAATGAAGAGACAAAACGAAAATTGGACAAACGAAAAAATCAAAATGAACTAATACTTACTTTTGGCTATGGTCACAATTTTGATAATTTCAAATAGAGAATTAACGTGCACTTTGTGGTTATCAGTAACGTTCTCCAAAGTCTAATAAAAAACAAACGCAAAATAATATTACTTAAAAAAACCTCGAGCAAAACAACCAAATCAATTCACCATAATTGCAGCCTGAATTCCAGCACTAAAATCGTATTCTTGAAGAATTTCTTTTGTGTTCGAGCGTTGCGCGATCTCTCGAATGAACTCAATCAAATGCTTCAACAATTTTTCGTCCAAAGATCTAAAAAATTAAGACTTATTTATTTGGCACATTTTATGCAACACTAACATATTATTTTTAAACCTACGGAATGCGATGTAGTTCCTTTGATGTGAATTTCAGAAAATTGCGAACGTCCGAGTCGCGAAGAATATTTCCGCCTTCATTTAAAATCAGATTCATTTTACATGTCTAAAGAAAATCAACAATATAATGTAGTGATATCATAAATAAAAACACATCCATTTTATATCAATACATACCAATATGCCATACGTTTTGAGTGGAATTTTCTTTTGCAAATCAATCAAATTTATTTGCTCTTCCAATATATTCAGCGAAATGGCATTTTTACTGCACAGATTAATCAAAACTGATAAAGCCACATTCTGTAGTTTGTCATTGGACTGTGTGAAAAAAATAGAAGAGATTATAAAATCAAATCAGTTTTTTAAAGACTATCTGTAGTCGTATACTCACTTCGACTGTGTCATCACACAATAGTTTCACGCAGAATTTTATAAGACGCTCAATGTATGGCTGGCATGTTTTGATAACGATACCGAATGAAACGTCTTGAATCAGTTTCAAAACGTATTCATTTCTGGATGGTGTCGACCGCAAGAGAATATCCGTCAAAACGGGCAAAATGGGCAATTTTCTTAATATATCTTGTTCATCTTTCAGTGACAAGATAATTTTTTCTATCAATTCAACCGATTTCCCGAATGGCCCTTGTAAATTGAGATACCGATTATTATTTTTTTCTTATTTGAGTTGTCAATCAAACTGATGTCGCACCGCTCTATGAGCTGCAACCATATCCAACTCACCAGAGTTTGTATCACACTTGTTTATGACCTCATGCAAGATGGTTAACATGAGTGGAATGTCTTGCACTTCTTCGACAAAATCATCGGGTTGACATTTTAAAATGGTTTCCTGGAAGGAAAAACGAGTCCAATGGAGAGATTGTGTCAATTTGATTGAACTTTTTTTTTTAATAAAAAGAAGAATATGAATACTAACCTTCAACAAGCAGTGCAAATGTGCTTCATCTTCGGTGCTAAAACATGTATCGCTGCTTGAAATAGAACTACAAGTAGAATTAAATTTTTTTATCGCCATTTTTGACTGTTTAATTTAATCCGGCAGAATTTTAAGTGAATATTTTACTATCTAGAATCGAATTTAGTCACGATTTCAAGAACAATAACTTTAAATTGGTGTCAAGCGTCTATCTGTCACTCATAAACGGCTACTTTGCGCCTATTTACACTGCGTTCAAACTTTCAAACGAACATTTGCATCGGTATGTGTGTGATTCGGGCTACACTCTCACTATGGGAACGCTGCCCAAAGCAATACATGACTCTTTTCGGGCTAAAGAAAAATTTGTACAAATATGACAGAAATTGATGAACGGTTTTCTGAAATAGTTATTTCGATGGCATCACAAATTTTACATTTGCCAGTCCACTGCAAGTTATTTAAGGATTTCTTAGTGGAGGAGCTCATCTTTCATAAATCACCATTTGACTTTCACTACGGAAAATGTGCGGTAATTGGGAAATTGTGTCGTCGTGATAATCTGTGCTACTTACAAAACATTTCATTGAGCTGCTTCGATAGAAACTACTGTATAAAGACGGGTGCCGTAGAAATTCGTCTACTACCAACGTCTTACCGTTCGAATCCAGGAGATTTGTCATCGTTTCGGGGCTTGATCAATGGTGCATTCTACGAAGTTCATGGAGAAACGGCATTTTTGCATAAAGACGCGCCAGTCACAGCAGCAGTACCTATTACAATAGTGGAAATGATGATAAACCTACGCATGAAATATTTGGTCTTCACCGATGGCAACAGCAACAGCTGTAACAGTAGCAACCAACTTTTCGATCTCAAAGATATTCCGAGCGATTATTGTCAGCTTAACGAAACCGCTATACTAGAAGACGTTAAACGATTCAAAACGACTCATGTTCCAGTTCTACAAGTACACACCATGAATGAAATCGATCAAGCTGAAGAATTGATACAGTGTAATCTTCAATTACGACTGTTGCGCAACAAACGACATTCCAAAAATTAGATTTATTCATATTTAAGTTAAGCATGTTGTTATTCCAATGAATTAATAAATTGCGATATTTGTTTTTTGCACTCTGATTAACATTAGTCGTTTGATATCGAATATTGTTTAAAAATTGCTTGGTCGAAATGTCAAATCGTCACTAAAATTGACACCCAAACGTCACTTCGTAGCCACACGTGCAGCGTTTGTTCTATGAAGTTTTGGTTGTAAACATTGGCTTTGCCGATACGAACTCTTCGCACATAATAACAAAGGAATAAAATAGAAGATTAAGAATGAGTCTGCTGCCGAAAACACGTCAAGACTTCACGCAAACTGAATATTGGAATTCTTTCTTTCAAAAAAGAGGAAAGGCATCTTTTGAATGGTATTTAAATCCAATTTTAATTCGAGTGTATCATAACACTAAAACCTATCTCATTTGAAAGGTACGGCGAATATCCAGAATTGTGTGTTCATTTACACAAATATATCAAATCCAAGGATGCTGTGTTGAATGTCGGCTGCGGTAATTCTAAATTGAGCCTAGATCTATACGATGTCGGTTACAAGTTAGTGATATTCATAACAAAATGAAGTAAATATGTTTTCCAAAATCGGCCTTCTATAAATCTTATTTATTTGCCGTAGGAATATCACGAATATCGACACATCGCAGCTGGTTGTGAAACAAATGTTGGCACAAAATAGAACCATTCGGCCGGATTTGAAGTTCTTACAAATTGATGCATGTAATATGAAGGAATTTGAAGACGGGACATTTTCAGCCATCATAGATAAGGCCACACTCGACGCAGTTTATGTCGACGAAACAGATGCGATCAATGAATATGTGCAAAAATATTGGTCAGAAATAGATCGTGTATTGCGAGTTGGCGGCAGATATATTGCGATCTCTTTGTTACAGCAACATATTATCGAAGGATTGCTAAAGCGATTCGCTTTGAATAATTGGATGTTCCGTGTGGTGCGTTGCATTGAAGCCGAGGAGAAAACTGCGGAAGAAAGTGGCGAAAAATCGCTTCCAGTATTTATGGCCATAATAACAAAGTTTCAAAAACTGCCATCAATGGTTTTGGAAGTTTGTATGGCCGGCGACAAAATGGTTTGGGTGATTTCTATATATGTTTATTCAACAGATAATGAGTTAAGCCTTTTTTAGATTCGGGTAAATAGTACAGAAGAGGTCGTCGAAGCAGTTTTATCGGTACAAAAGGCGGCTTTGGTATGCAATGGTTTGACACGTAGTAATATCGCAGGTAAAATGACGAGAATTATTTAATTTTTTTTTGTTCATTCAGCCGATACTGAGATTACCAATTTTTTTTTTAAGATATGAATGAGGTGTCAATTGATTTATATGAACCTTCGAATAGCAAGGTTCGATACACAATCCATATTTTGGATCAAAAACCGAGTCGCGAAAATGGACGGTATGCGGCATTCATCGTGCCTCAGGGCCGCGAGACTGAATGGCTATTCTCAACGGAACCGGGGAGAAGGAAACTTCTTCAGTCGGCGAAACATGATCGTTTAGCGATTGTTTCCATGCATCGTGGTCACGAGTACAAGTCGTGGGATGATGTCAAAGACGAACTGAGTGGTAGTATTCGAAATTTTGCGCCAAGCGGTTTGAAGAACCAGCAGGTATTTTCTAAGGAAATGGGCTATATAATTGCACAGAGGCATTTGTACGCTGTCTGTTTTTGAATTCAGATTCCATTTTTGTCCCTCGGCTCTGATGTTGGCGTACGTGAAACTATTTTCCAAGGCAAGAGTGAACTTTCGGGAGACTATATAGTAGAAGAAATCAAAGGTTCGGACAATAAAATATTCCGACGACTGATTTTCCTTAGTAATCAGTTTGTCATACAATCGGAAGCCTTGGTCAAAGTTGGTGAGAACATGATTTCCTATGAAAAAACATTGTCACACACAAATAGAATGAACATTTCAATTCTTTTCTGAATACTTCAATTTCAGTAAAAGGGAAAGATAAGAAAATAGAGAATAAAACCATTGAACCAACGTATCTGGCTTGTCAGCATCACTTATTCATGACTCTCGGTGTAGATTTCATCAAAGCACTGAATGGCACAAAATCAAAGAAAAATACGAGTTGTGCTGTTATTGGATTAGGTGGAGGTGGTCTTTGTACGTTCATTCACCGCATTCTGAAGTAAGTTAAAGAAGAAATCAAATTGGCTGAAAAACATTACCATTACTCTATTTTTAAATTTGCAGAGATACAAATATAACAGCCGTGGATATCGATGCTTCAATGCTGACTGTTGCCACCAACTTTTTCGGTTTAGTTCAAGACAATCGCTTGAAGGTTGTGATCGATGACGGTATTAGATTCCTAAAAAAAGCACTGAAAAATGGTTTGGAACAATTTTTACATATAGTTCCGACATTGCGCCACTAATGATGATGCATTCCTTCTAGGACAATCATTCAAAGCCATTCTTTTTGATGTCGACAGCAAAGACCCCACGGTTGGCATGAGTTGTCCTCCGATTCAGTTCTTAGAAAAAGATGTATTGGACACTGTGAAGGCCTGTATTCGTGATAACGGTAACTGTCGATTCAACTCTTTTCTCTCACCCTCTGTATCAGAATTTAACAATTTAAACTTCAAACAAACCTAGGTATTTTCGTTCTGAATCTGGTGTGCCGTGATGAAAAGTTGCGTGACAAAGTTCTGATCGACCTTCGAAATACATTCAAATCAGTTGTATCCTACAAACTTGACGAAGATGTAAACGAGATTCTATATTGCCAGAATGCTGAGTACGACGCTAAAAAATGGAACGAAACGATGCAAAAGTCAGCCAAACATATAAATGACATACTTAAAAATGAACAAAACTCATCCGAGACAATCGACATTGAAGAATTTTTAGAACAATTGAAAATATAATTTTCAAAGAATTTTGTTTTAAATTTTTATTAAAACACTACTATTTGTTGCTTAAGATCTATATCAATAAATTAAGTGTTATGTGTTTACAATAACTTTTTTTTGGAACAAAATTTTTATCGAATGTTTCCTTTTGCGTGATTGTTCTCCACTCTCGCTCGTTCTAAAATAGGGGTCTCGATTTAAGTTTTCCGCTTTTAAAAACACTAAAATGATAACGGAACATTACAACAAGTGTGTAGTATAAACCACATTCTATCATAACAGTTTATGGATGTTTTCTAGAAAACAATGTGTGGTACATTCACAAAAAAAAAATCTTACATCTCTAAGTTAACACATCTAATGCAGTCTATATGTGGAGCGAGATGGATGTACGTGTACGTGCACATACACGTTTTACATGCACACATTTTCTATGAAATTGCCTAAAACATTTTCTTCAAAATTCGTTTGAAACTACCCGATGATTTTCGATCATCGATTGATGAACTGATTGACGATCGTGTTGTATCGTTCCTCGCACTATTTTGATTACTACTATTTGTGGTTGGTGTGGAATTGTTGTTATTGTTGATACCATTTTGTTTGAGCGATGGTGGACTTTCCGATTTGGATTTCTTATTGGTTTGACTAGAGTTCTGTGGCTTTTTCGATCGATGCCACTCCCATCCAGTTGATTGAGGAGCAGACCCGCTTGAAAAGGGTGACTTAAAAAACAATGGCGATGAAAGTCTTCGATTTCGGTTTTTATTCTTGAGGGCTTTTGATTTCTTTGGATGTGATGTGACACTATCAAGTGATGAATTCATCGTGGTTTCACTTCCACCACCGTTACCACCACAATCATCAATTTGCTGTGAACCGGACTGATTATATTTCTGCTCCTGTACAGGGCCATAGAACTCATATTCCTCCTCGCCTGGCTTATCGTACAGGTCTTTCAGATCCTCAATTTTCACATATCCACTTAAATCATGACTTTCGCTTGAGGTGCTTTTGTTGTGTTGAGGATTTTTCTCTGCAATTTGATAATCAACATCCGTAGAAGCGGTGTCATCAATCAGCAATTCGGTATAGGTTCCAGTGATGTTGAGCGCTTCGGTGCTAGGTCGGCGCTGTAGTGCGGACGACGATGACTCGGATAGAGTTCGTTCACGTTTTTCTTCAGCCGATTTTCGTCGAAATTTCATCGGAACATTACCGGATTTACGCTTCCTCGTGAGTGTTTCATTGCTGGATTGAACCTCTGCACTCACTTCGTTTGATCCATTGCGACCCAGCCCATATTTCTGACCCCAAATTTTTAATATCAAATGAAATATCAGAAGTTGTACACAAGTGAAACATGCACCACATATTATTATGTTTCGCCATGAGAAAATTCGCTCGGTTAAAATTTCCAAATCGTTGCGAAGTTTTTGGTTTTGCTCGAACAGTTCTTCTTTACGCTCTAAATTTCGTCGACTTTGCTCTTCAATGTTGACCAATGTTTTTGCGAACGACATTTGCAGCTCTTCTACTTGCTTCTTGTAACGACGGCTCAGCTCTTCTAAGTACTGACCCGATAGTGACATATTTCTCTCTAAAGCCTATGTGCGTGGGATAAAAATGATTCATTAGAAATGGAATATAGAAGCTATGCTTTGAAATTCAAGAGAGTTCCATCGATCATTCGAGCGCTGCCTCAAAATTTGTACTATTCTATGGAACAAATGCGAATGTTCAACGGAATTCGAAACGCGTTATCAATTTTGCTTACCTTTACACGATTCGATAGCCGTAAAAATACACTTTCGCTGTGCAATTTCTGGCCGAATTGCGGTGCATTTGTCCATCCGTTTGCTGCTTGCTCTTCGCTGGCGTCATTCAAATCATTGGGTGTGGGAGTTGTAGTTTCCGGAAGTATTATAACGGAAGGTGGTGTTTCTTGTTCAGTGCCCACGGTTTTCGTTGGTTCTGTGGATGAACTTTCAGCCATTATAGTTTGAGACTCGGTGCTTGCTTCAGCAGAATCAACGACGTTGAATATGTTCTGTCCTTTGTCGATGATCTCTTCACTGCTTTCAACAGTTGGCAACGGTGTTGTTATCTCCACCACTTCCTTCTCACTATTTTCAACAATATTTTCATTCGGTTCTTGAGTTTCTTGGCTCATGTTCTCTGAGCTATCGGCAGGGGAGCCACTTGAAGACTGGTGCTCTGGTGGCGATTTGTTCTCCGCATTGTCTTCTTGTGATGAACTTTTGATCACTTGATCAGTCTGCTCAGATTCTAGAGCTGGTGGCATTGCCTTGATTGCGTGCTCACCCTGTAAAATTGGATCGCTAGCCTTTCGATCGATTGTAATGTTGATTGGTGGATCAGAGCTAAGCGGTATCGTAGAATTCCATGCATTTTTTCTGTCATTTGCTGCCAGTAAATTGCACATCGCCGCGATGTATTTATTAGAGAACAAATGGATGATATACTCCATTTGCAAATCGATCAATTGTTTTGAAGTCGTGCTATTGATGTCTATTGGTTCACTACAATTTATATTTAAATCCAAACCAATTAATGTGTTACAAATTTGTGATTTGTATAAACTATTTCTAATTATGCTAATGTCCAATAGCCGCTTCAACAGATTTTGTTTGCATTCAATTAGCGCCGTCACTTCACGTGTCATGCCATCCGAACAATTTTCGCAGTAGATTGCGTGATTCGGTGATATGCAGTTGTCATTCGATAGATTCTGATTCGAAGCATGCTGTGAATCATTATCGGTGGTTTTGTTTCCATTTGGTTTCACAAAAGATGCCGCCTTTTTAACGGTGTCAACGATTGACATAACAGCATCGCTGGCAGATTTAAATATGTTCGTTTTACTTTTGTTGGCATCTGACTCCTGATCATCCTCGTCATCATCGTCTATGTCATCGATTGGATGTTGTCGGTTTTCCGTTTCGAATGCTTCGAATTCCGATGTGCCATAAACACGAAACAACGAAATTGGACAAAAGTGCTCGGAATTGTAGTGAGAGTGAACATCAACTCTCACATACTTGCCAAAAAGATGTGGAAACAAGTCAAAGCTTTGAATATATCTCTCATCTTTGGCCACAAATCGCCCGACATTGGACCAATCCCGCGTTGGAAATCTACTGCTCACTGCAACCGAAAAGTTTTTGGGTGATGACGAGAAGAGTTCATAGTTGGCCAAATCAATGCGTTCAGCTTGAATGGCCTCACACAGTTCAACCACGAACCAAATTCGACTTTTACACGGGCTGAGCAAGTACTCGTCTCTCGTTGATGTGAGCACATAGCTCGTGCCCGATGATTCGATATTTGCCGCAATAATTTTGGCCCCGCAAACTGGCGATGCATAATTTTTTAGATTTTTCAATTTAAGTACTGGCTGCTTATTGGCTGCCGGTGCATTCTTCTTCATTGTTGAAGTGTTTACAGCCTCCTGTTCCACCTCTTTTTCCACTTCTTCCAATCGTTTTTGTGCCCATTCGGAAAATACTGGAATTTGATTCTCCTCCGTCAAATTCAATTCATCTTTCTCCACTGAGGTGCTGTTATCGCCATCAGACTCGGTTTTATTGACATCTGATTTTGTTCCTTCAATTGGTGATTCAATTTGCCGCATCAACTCATCCTCGTTGCTGGATGTTGTCAGTGGAACACTTGAATTTTGTAACACGCTGGAATCATTTTTGTCGTCTGCTATAACATTTTCGATATCTCCCACTAAAATATCTTTGGACGCATCTTCCACGGAAATTGATACAGATGCCGGAAAGTTTGGAGTTCTGAAGAAAAAAAAAACAAAATAATTTAATTTAGCAAGAATCCTAAGGATTGAAAATAAATCGCCATATTGTATTCTCGTACAAAAAGTGTGCGAATTAAGTATTTCATCATTTTCAGAAGAATTTTCGAGGAAAAAATCAGGCATATGATGTGTGCAATACTATATTAAATGAATGATGACTTTAGCCGAAATCCGTAGGGACATGAGCACTTACCGATTAAGCCAAGCTGATATGGCAAATATGTGGGAAAACCACAATGTCCAACATATTGAAAGTAATACGGTGATTGTTTTCATTTTGAAAGACTTTTTTCGAAAGCATTTGTCGATGAGATGCATGTATGTCTTGTAAATATTTATTCCGAAACAATACAAATGAATATCTATTTCACAAATGTTTATCGCGCAATCCGTATTTTTCGAGAATTAATCACGATACGTGTTATCATCGTATATGGTAACTTTAGTTTTTTCTGTTGAAAAGAAATGAAACAAAAGAAATCGTATGGAATGTATTAACACCAATGTGCACTGTTCAGTTCATTTTAGCTGAGTTCAATTGTAGGGATTTTTCCTTTAAAGCACGATAATAGTTTAGATTTTACAATCACCTAATAAAGCCGCCATATTATCATTATTATTACGATCCGATAAGAGACCTTCGCTCTAACACATATTTATCAAGAGATCGCGTGACTTTGACTTAGCATTTTATATTTCGGGTTCGTCAATGTCATTAACATAAGCGAGGCTACTAATATATACATCAAATTATTCACTGAAATTTCCTTATTTTGTTCGGCAGATTTTTTTGTGAATGGGCCAGTTTTTAATTTGGCATTCTCTGGAACAATAATATGATCGTTGACAATTCGAACATTTTTTAAATGCCATGACACAACATTCGGCGCAATAATGCTCATCGCTTTGTTTTTTTCGTGTTTGTTCGTCCAATTTCTCGAACAGTTCAATGTTGTACGTGTCGCTTAGGCGTTTTGCAATATTGACCAGCTCTGATGCGTCCAATTTGAAGAATCGTTCAATGTGATTCTCAACTATTTGCTTGTAGCCGACATTTTTTGCATTGATTAAAATTTGATTTTTGATCTCTGGTATTTCTTCTAAGATTATATTGGCAGATCTAACACTTGAATCACCCAGCGATAGCGTACACAGTCGATGCTTTAAGTCGGCCAACGGTGGCAATTGGTCCAGTAAATTTACGCTTAGGAATTCTTGACATTTGGAAATCTCCCTCTGGCGAAATTGGTTGATTTCATAGAAACTCATTGCTTCTTTACTGAATAAAAGTTGTCGTAAACAGAACCAGACGTGAGCTTCGACTTTGGTTACTTTGACCACATCGATATCATTGATTGAAATCCATTTGTCATCGATATATTTTTCTACGCCGTTTACATTGCGTATCCATGGTTGTGCATTCAAAACTTCGCTCAACAAACACGGAACGTCATGTGTCACCACCATACGTCTTACTATGCTGATTGGCATTGTGTCAATTTTGTCGGCGATAAAACTTAGAATTGTTAAACAACGTAGGCCAATCTTATACAATAGATCTTCCTTTTGTCGTTCCAATTCTTCGCTAGCATTTTCTGTGTTCACTTTCTTCGGATCAACATTTTCTTGCACATGTTTTAAATGAGTTAATGCGATAAGCTGAACGATCGCTTGTGCGCAGTAATCGATTAAATCGATTGCAGTGTCGCCGAGCGCCTGGCATCCATTTTCATGATACAATAATATCTCCAGCAACGATATCGCGACAGCCTCATGATAAAGTACCGAATAGAGAATGAATGTTGAATTCGTGTCACATTCGTTCACCGCTAATTTCGGTAGAATTTTCGTGCGCCAAATTAAAACGCAATACGCTTCGTGTACCAAAATTTCAAGTTTCTCATTTAAAACAAACAACTCCTTAACCAATTCCTCGCGAAACGTTGACGCCTCAATTGTTGCTTGTTGGTTGAACTTTATGAGAAATTCGTGCGTTTCAAACCATTCGCCAGTTCCGATCTCGTTTACTTGAAACTTTTTTATACTGTTTATGTAAATATCGTATTCAGCCGGTTGAATAACGTTATCTTCCATTTTTGTCTCGATTATTCTTTTTTTCTATGGTTTCGCTATTGTAGGTAACTGCTCCGAATCACATTAAAGATCAAACTTAATTATTGGATTCGTTGTTCAAACTTTAACTTAATGCTTGTGACAAAGTGAACCTGAAAATTAAATAAACTTCATGGGTTGCTAGGCAATCAGCTTACATGCGCATTTGTTTGCTTAAATTTTATCGCAGGCAATGTAAATTATTCATTTTATTCGAGTATTATCATATGTGGTAGTTGCATTTGCAAGTCATACCGTCTGATACATTAAGCACACGACGACAATTTGATTTTATCAGCAACTTGATTACCGATTATCAAAAGAGACTACGATCAAATGGTAAGTTCCTTGGACTCCTTAGACTGTGGGTCGTTTTGCACCTAAATTTTTGTCATATATGACAAATTGTGTCAGCCTCAGCTATCATCAACACAGATAAAAAAATATAAATTCAACGGAACATTGTGCCCTAATGCGACTGTTTAGATTATGGCCTTGACAGTTCATTAATTTTTTTTTTTACATTTCGTCGAAAGGTTCAACTGATTCTGTCAAATGGCATCGTGATTCAAGGAATCAAATAATTTAAATAATGTATATTGTATACAGTAAGCAGTCAGAATAAGTGATCGAAATAAGAAAAAAATCACAATTTTGAGAACGTACCATTTCAAATGGTTTCAATAATTCAAATTAATACCAAGAAAAAAAGAAGAGAATTTTTTAATTGCGAAAGTTTAGAAAACATTTTTAATGTTCAATTGATTTTTCATTTTATCGATTTGAAACTCATTTTTTTCACTTTACACGATGAATACAGCAAAAAAAATAATACGAGAGTAAATTAAGTTTTCTCCATTTTGTTATCGCAATGTTTTGATCAAAAACCATTAAATCAATTTTATTGTTGCATGTATTGCAGCATTTAGTAATAAAGTAGCGCTTGGAATTCACTGTGTTACGATGTATGTACTTTCATTTTAAATCATATTGTATTATTTCAATACTCCAATGAAACAGTATTGAGAACGGCTTTCAACCATTTTGTAAATCAATGAAAATCGATTTGAAACAACACTCTAAATGACTAGGCAGGCGAACGAGTTAAATCATTTCTTTATTTTAAAGAAAAGATTTTGAGGCGACTGCGGATTCGAACCACAGGTCTTTGGATTGCCGGTCCACTTCTCTAACCGCTAAGCTATCGCCGCCCGTTCTTTTGCCACGTCATTTTTCGAGTTGAACAGAGCGCTAGCAACTGTTTTTTGTTTTTGGTCAATGAAGTGACTTATTTCGTCACTGGTTTCATTCGGGTTTTTTACTACAACTCACGCATTTTTCGAAGATGCTGTGAACCGTAGTAAACGCTGTCATTTTGCCGGACAGCAATTTTTATGATTTTTTTATAATTATTTCGTATGAACTAATTGCCATTTAGAGTGTTGTTTCAAATCCATTTATTTCTCCATACTGTTTCATTGGAGTATTGAAATAATACGAATTCACCCACAACCAATCACCTTATGAAAAACAATTAGTTCATACGAAATAATTGTAAAAAAATCATTAAATCATATCATAAGCTTAGCAAGATTGTGAATTTTAGTTGGTGAAAACAAAACGGCAAACTTAATTGGTCCAAGATTTTTCTTCAAGTAAAATGTTTTTAAACTAATTGTAACATTATTTAAACGCAGGTCGAATGATATGACAGAATGATATGACAGTTGTCGAAAATATTGAGCCATTCATCGGATGGGTCATACAAAATGGATAAGTAAAAAATGAATGACACTGCGGGTAATAAATAATATAAATGCATTATGGTGGTTCTTCAATCACATATGCAGTGTGTGCACTGTGCACTCGCTTGACCTGGGATCACAAAATCATTTGTATGTTCTTGTTGTTCGCTAGTTGACAATACGTGAACTCAAAGAAGAACCGAATTATACTCCGGCCTTTACGCACACTTAACGCATTTGATAAAGCAGCATATTACAGTTCATGTGTTTTTCTCTGCTTTCATACATAATATCAGTGAATTAATTAGTTTTTGTTATACTATTTCGAAAGATAGTAGTGTATAAATAAATACTGATTTGGAGTTGCTTTGTAAGTCGCGGGGAATATAAGTTATAAATGGCGGAGAATCAGAACACAGCAGTAGCACATTGGTATCATTTATTCACAAAAAAGAAGGAAGAAAAAACCAAAAATGCATTTTACTGGCACTAATCACATGTATATTTTTGGAATATATGCTTCTCGTGATATTTTGGTATGGTTTTATTTACTAGCAGAACGTCGAAGCATACATTGTCATCTCTGTATCTGTTTTTCTGAATTTCTTTCCCTTTGCGCATAAATTTTTCATTAATTAAGCAAAAATTTACATTGTTTACTCGTAATTAACACTTCGAATCATTCAACTTGTGACGTTAACACACGCTAAATATAAAGGCAATACATTTATGTTATCACATTCTAAACGAAACGATCATTTAAACCGCGATTAATAGCGTAAAACGTAATTCTTCTCGACGCATGACAAATAATCATGAGAGCGCCAAGTATTGCGACGATGATTTTATCTGATGAACTTGTAATATGTACGTTCGCGTATGTTCCGAAACTTTTCAAAAATATTAACCGGAATTTAATTCTAATCGTTTGTTTGATTTCTCACAGAAACAAACACAACCGATTCCTTTGTAAAATCAACAACAACTACTCTGAGTGTCGCTGTGCCATGAAAGAATTCGGTGTTATAGAAATAAAAAATGTGTTCATATGTTTCGTTTACGCCGTTCACTTAAGATAAAAAGAAACACGACGATGAATTTCGTTTCAGAAGCATTTTCGCTGACGCGGCCTATGACGAGTCATTCACATGTTCTGATAATAAAACGGGGCGTTCGTATGTATATGTAAAGCGGACATACGACTACCGTTCATTTGTTGTGTTCTCTTTCGTAAGTTCGCGACTCTTCATTGTGTGTCGCTTGTACTTTTCAATTTAAATAGATTGGAACACTTGGCTTGGAAAGTAGCGTATAGGCGAACCGACTGTGTTTTATTTCACAAATGCGCTCAATAGAAAAGTGCCGGCTGCATTCGAAGCGAATTTTATGCCAAACCAGTTTCTGTTGACAAGCTTCTTTTCACTTTCAATGATTAAATATTCCTTTTTCGGTAAAATGAATTTATTTCGCTCGCCGCTGACAATTTTTGCATGAACGGCTTAACTCAACTGAAACCAGTTGCTTGTTGGTAATCGATCTATGAAAGGAAGTAATCAAAATGAATTTCGCTATGTCAATCCCACACACTGCAAATTATAACATATTATTCGTTGGATGTGAATGACTTGTTGCCTAACAGTTATATATAAATCTATTTCTATTTCTCACTATCCTGCACTGTCTCTTATCATTATCATCAGCCGATACAAAATAAGAAAATTTCACAAGTTGCGACACATTAATGATTTTCATTCATTAAATAGATCGATTGCGACAATGCAACTGTTTTTGCGTAGCATTGATCTAATGATAAAGGATGACGAAGCGCAAAATTAGATAGCAATTTCAGTTTGTCTTTTTGATACACTTTTCGCCAATTCATTATTCGATAAAATATCTTTTCGGTTAAACGGTTTTTACCGTGACGTATCCTACCTTAATAATATTCCTTGGCGTTGATAAACAACTAATCAGTGAGATAATCAAGTGGTGAGAAAACATGAGAAATTGTATATTCATCGTCAATCAAAAAACGCATTGCCGCAAAGAAGTATTGGTTTCAGCAGAAATTGATGAATGCCAGGAAATTAACAATCGAGCAATATGTTCGTGCTAAATAAAGCAATCGTACGAATTGACTCAGTATGTCTGCTCTGTCCGAAATAGAAAACACAGAATTATACGCCCACGAGAAAATATGAAAATAAATTCAAAAACACGTTGACTGGAGTGCTCAAAAGACGGCTTTGCAGCGATTGGGTGTCATAACATACGGCATCAGAAATGCCAACTATTACATTTCTTTGGAAAAGACATCGTGGGTTATCACTGAATTCTGATTCCAGTTTTCTGGCTAAAAATAACATGATACGGTACGGCAACGCATTTGCTTGTCAGATTTAGTGTCAAGTACTTTGGTTTTGACTTTTCATTTCATCATTATTTCACGCTACCGACCGATTTGCTCCGAAAAATATCAACTTTTCTTTTAGTGGAAAACCAAAACGATGATTCTCAATCGCAACACTTTTTGTACGGTATTTTCTCTTTCACTGTATCATACTTACATATTATGGTCGTCGGAAATTTTCTCTCCTGATGTATCTTGTTCATGCTGTGGGTTTTCTCCTACAATAGGTTGTGGAAGCTGTGTCTCCGTTTTTGGTATATCTAGCTCATCTAGATTAGTATCTTGTTCACTTTTATCACTTGTTTGAACTGTTTCTTCTGAATTCAATTTTATTCTTTCTTGACCAATGTGGAAATCACTTGATTCTTCATTGATAACATCATTTTCTTGTAAAATATTCGGTTTTTGCAATACATTTTCTTGTGTACTAGCAACGGTTGGCTCCACATTTAGAGTATCTGACGAAAGAATCACAGCTGAAACGTATGCACTGAAAATAAACAGAAAAGGTAAATTGTTATTCTTTTGTTTGAACAAATTGATTACAATGATGTAATTGATATCTTTTTTTCTTTTTGAATAATAACGATAATTGAATCGTATGCTTGAAATATGATCTATAAGAACACTGCGATTTGGAACCATCTTTTTGATTCACGTGAAGAGATACGGCAGGAAGAAGTCATTTTCGGAGTTCCACTAAATGTGACTAGCAACGTACGACGCAAACTGGTTAATTTTTTTTTGTCAAATCAAATTTTGAGCTAAGCTTTTCATCAGCATTTGAACCACAATTGAATTTAATTGAAAAATACACAAACATCGTAAATTGAATTAGATTGCCATTTTTTCAATACCTGCCAATGCTAAGCATCAATACCATGAACGCGCATAGTTTCATGTATACGTCTAGCTTCATTTTCAAATAATTTCGCTGTCATTAACCAACTTTTGCTCTTTTAATCGTTCTTCGCAACAATGTTCACATTTTACAAGAATATTTTTTTATAGTTTCACTTTAACAAATGATATTGGGTTTTATGAAGCAAATTTAGTTTTTTTGGGCATGGAAACAATGGGCTAAGCATTTTTACGTTCGCTTCTAGACTGACGTGTTGATTTTGACAGATGTGCAATTTTGTTGCGATGTGACCAAGAGAACGTGACAGTCAACGAATTTATTTTAGTACAATATGTCATATGATGTTAGTACTCATCGTCGGGCGTTGGAATCGTCAAGAGCGTTATACTAAAGTGGTATTATTGAGGAAAAAATTTGACTCCAAACGCTAAGGATAAATTAACTAGACATGAATTATGTGTTAATTTTCAGAATTCCCGTCGCAATGAAATGAGAAACAGAATTGATTCACGTGCCATAATCGTTATTGTGAATGGACGTTTAGCACTTCTTTAGATTCGATTGACATTTGGTTGTCATCGTTCGCTTCCAATGATTGTATGAGTTTTTGCCGACGTCAATCACCGCCTAAACAATTACATTTTTTGGTTGTTCTTTCTTGTTGTGTCGCATCGATTCAGATCATCATTTCTATCACCATAAAATTGTGAAAATGCTTGAGACAATTTACTCGTTACCATTTTTGGTGTTGGAAGTTCCCAATTTGAAGATTAAGCAGCCGTCATGGTTTCATGCCCCATCGGCTATGACCATATTCTCATTTGTGTTGCTGTCGTACTTTTTGGTTACTGGAGGTAATGTACCGAGTATTCCAAGATATTTAATTCCATTTATTCCACAGTTACACAAATTAATATGAAATCAACTCATTATTGCCAATAGGAATTATTTATGATGTCATTGTAGAACCACCGTCGGTCGGATCAACAACAGATGAACACGGTCACTCAAGACCAGTAAGACCTTACTAAGAATAAATTAAGAGATGTTCGAATAAATGTGTAATGTGAATTATAATCAACAGGTTGCATTCATGCCTTATCGCATCAATGGTCAATACATCATGGAGGGTTTAGCCAGCAGTTTCCTATTCACGATCGGCGGTCTGGGATTCATCATTATGGATCAAACGCACGCTCCCGGCAAGCCCAAACTCAATCGCATTTTATTGACCGCGATGGGTAAATTCCATTCATTTATTTAAGGGTTTCATTTATTTTTCATTTATTTATTTATTATTTTAGGTTTCATTTTCATTTTGCTGTCATTTTTCACCACTTGGATCTTCATGCGAATGAAACTTCCTGGTAAGTGAAACAAACATGAGAATATATAAAAATATAATCAATAAATTATGAATTATTTGTGTCTCTCACTCATATTTCCATAGGTTATTTACAACCATAGAGCCAATGACACATTATGAAAGTTGATGTCGAAAAACTCGTATAAATCAATTAATAAATAAATCAACAAATTCGAATAACTAATAAATAGTAAGAGAATGCGTATTCCTTTTCGAAAGTTGTAAATGCAATAAATAAACATCCAAGTATCTTGTGACGACAACTGTCAAAGATTTGTATTTCTTTCATACATTCGGCTAAGAGAATTTAGAACAAAGGTTATATTCTACTGCGTTGCACACATACAGCGAATTCCGTTATTGGTGGAAGCGATACCAATACAATCAAAGCATATTAAACATTGGAAGTGACATTTGTCCGTTGATTTGTATATGCAACAGCACATTTGCAACCACAGCACAATCGACGTGATTTTCACTTTTTCGTACTTCTGAACACCAGTTTTAAAGCAAAAATGAGCAAATCAACGGGACGATTTAATTTGCGAACGAGAAAATCGTTGAAAAATCAACTCGAGTGCGTTTCATGCAAACGAAACTATTTTCCAATGGAGCTTTCCGAAGAAGATGAGAATAACGAGCAAACAGAGAACATTTGTTGCGATTGTGATGGAAAACGACAGACCGAACTGCAGCCGAAACGACGGACGATTTCAATCAAGGTGGAAAAAACTGACTCGAATGATGCTCAATGCCAAAAGCCCCAACCAAATGGAAGCAAGGTCTATGCAACACGCAAAAGTAGCAGCAGCTTGAACCCTGGCAGTATGGTCCAAATACATTCTATCGAACTTCTCAAACCAACGGCAGCCATTACAAATGTGACAAACAGTAAGTCCTTTGTATTACGTATTGCAATGATATGATAATAAATAGATGTGTCTCGTTGGACAGTTCCTAGATTGACCAAAATCAAAGAAGAAAAATTGGACATCCCGCTGAAAGAGGTTATGAAGAGCGGTAGAAGCAACAGAGCACTTAGAAACAAAACAAACACGATGGAAACAGCAAATGATCAAGGTACTGTTCAGCAAAAACATCAAACTGTGATCACAAAAGACGATACGGCTGAATCTTTGCGCCAAAAATTTCCAAATGTCAACCAATACGAGTTTGAGTATTTGTTGTTCCTCAAAGCCAAATCTGATTGAAGTCTTTATCGACCGAATGGGAAAGTGTTCGAGATACACAACCATGTAAATTTTTAAACATCGTTCCATCATTATTCAAGTAAAACTTGACTATATTTAAGATATATATTTAAGAGTTTTTTATTCGATTGATGATTGTGATAGTCACCAGAAAAACAGTCGGAACACACCATAAAAACTATCGTTAGAAATTACTTTTAATGATTATTTTCCGTAAAAATAAATACAATCAATATCAACTACACTATCGTGCAAAAGTTTGGAACCACTAGGTATTTTTCATACAAATTGACCGTTTTTGGTGGACTCATTAACATATTTCGGAAACACCTGCACTCTTGATATTTTGTGCATAGTTTCTACAACGTTTCAATAGTAAAACACAGAGGTTTCATCAAAAAATATTCATGAATTTCAAAAATATAGCAATTTGAATTTGTACTGTGTGAAAAATGATCAAATTTGTATGAAGATTAAAACAGATCAAATTCAAATTGATATATTTTTTAAATACGTGAATATTTTTTGATGAAACCTCTGTGATTTACTATTGAAACGTTGTAGAAACTATGCACAAAATATCAAGAGTGCAGGTGTTTCCGAAATATGTTAATGAGTCCACCAAAAATGGTCAATTTGTATGAAAAATACCTAGTGGTTCCAAACTTTTGCACGGTAGTGTATTTGCAGAGATCACTCATTTTTTATTTTCCATGATAAAGTACCATATAAATGGAAAAAAGTTCCTGGAGGTTAAATGAAATATGACTTTTTGTCAGAATAATAATGAACAAGGTTTCGTCAATTACTATTCATAAGTATTTGAAAAAACAACTATTTCTTATCTTCTAGGATCAATTCATGCCGATTTTCGAATGATAGTAGGCTATGCGTAAAAAAGATATATTAGTTGTGGTTCTGAATAGAGTTGTCTAGTGCACCAAACTTGATTGCGCTAAGCCAGCCAAAGTTCATTTTGTGCGACTGAGTTATTTCAATTCACGCCCACATGAACTAATTTATTGACTATTTTTCTAGATAAAGAATTCGACCAATTAATTAAGTAACAATTTGTAAACTAATTATTGTGTCTACATCCAGATACAGAAAGGAATTCAAATAAAACGAAGAGGAAATAGTAGTAGGCGATTTTTTTTTCTTTTTACACCAAACCATTTTTTCCGAGAAATTCTCTTATCTCTATTTTTATTTTCAGTTTAGTAAGCAATTATGAGAAAAAATTATTTTGCTCTAAATATGGATATAATATGGTTTTATAAATTTCTTATTTTGATTACTAGCGAGGTATACATGGGAAGAAAGATTCTATCGCATTTATGCGTGTTGTATCGATTGGAAATAAGAGTTTCGTTAATTTCAAACATATTTGTTCAACTCACCTGCCGATAGATTTCGGTGTTAGCATTGCATCAAACCTTGTGACATTTGTACGGTTTTTTACTTATATGTATGTATTAAATACAAAATATAATAAATACTTTGCATATATTATATATGTGCGTGCATATATACATATATACGCAAGCGTATGGATAAATATAGTCACGTCGATTTTACATTATATTGCATTGTTTGTAAAATGTAAACAAAATCACTCAGCCCAAATATCATAAGACAAATATAATCTGGTTGTTTATGTATTCGCTAATGTTTCGGTTTGTTATTACTTTGTAGAATTGCCATTTCTCATTTCAGTTTCCAAATGTGCAGATGTTTAGTTTTACTATGAAGAGAAAAAAACGCTTTCATGTGCGTGACCTAAGTAATGATGTCATCGGCTGAATTTCTATGACTCTGTCCGTCAATGAATTAATTTCTTACTGTGCCCATGCCCATCTAACGCCACTCACGAAATTTTGTTGCGATGAATTTGTGTGTTTGGGTATACACGTTCCATGCGATTCTTAAGCACAATCGATACGTCGGAATGCAAATACGTAGTCATCAATTTTAGTCCGCCTAATCATTACTTTTTTTTTGTTCAAATCAAGGGTTCTTCAAGTGAACTTTTACAAATACATTTCACAACATGTCTTTCTATATATATAATAATTTTTGTTCCGGCCCAATGGAGAAAATATAAACCGAATTTGTTTTTGTTGAAGATTTATAGAAAAATATCGTTGAAATATTTGGAAAACCCTGTAATTATTCTTTTTTGTTCATTCAAACCGTGCGACCGAAAGCTATTTTTAAGCAAATTTTTCGGTCTCTTTTTCAGCATGCAATCAAAGCAAAAAAAAGTCGCTTCAAATCACAAACAGACTAATTACTCATCCGACTTTATCGCATGCTTCATATTCATCAATACTCGAATTATTGTTATATACGATGTGTTCGAGTGTTTGCTGAATAATCTTATGATTCACGAATGAATAGAATGAAATAGAAGAACTGGTTTTTCATCAATTGAGTCGTTCCAACGACGTTGAATGGTAATGAAAGTACTAGATAAAAATCAAAACAGCTCGTCTATTGTTTTATCATGATATTTTATTCAACTGAAGTAAAACGGTGTGTGCGACATAGGAATTTTACGATTTAGTTTTGTGTAGTAAGAAATCTTATAAGTGCTTAGACAATAATGGCCTCTAATCGCGGAAAGTGAAAATAACATCCAAGAAGAACAGAACTCCGTTGACAATGGCCAACCAGCCTTTTGCAACAGCCAACTTGTGCGTCTCAGTTCTCAAGGCTGAGTGAATGCCGCCATTCCAATCCTGTTGAAATATTTGGAATTAATATTACCCTTTATCATTATCATTGTTATTAATAGTTTTATTTACCTGAAGAATAAGAGCACCAGTTGCAATGAATAGAGCGCAGCCGATCAAGCTGAAGAAGATGTCGATACGCTTGTTGATTGGTGTACTCAAAATGTATCCTATTTTGTAAGCAAAGCAAAAAAAATGAGTCAAAATACATTATACATAGTGATGATGTCATCTGCTGGTTCTTGTTTTCACGCATATGAAACACGCGATTTGGTCATAGAATAAAGCGTTGTACGCAATTAATCAAAATTTTACCTGCAAACAATCCCACCAAAATGACTGTGTAGCCAACAAAGGTGCCAGAGGCGAGAATGATAGCGTGGGGATCACTTTCACCCATGGATTTGTAGTGCAACACAAGACATGTTATTGTGATGACCTAGAAGCGAAACAAAATAAGGAAATCCTTAGTATAAATTTGTATCATCACTGCTATCTTCCTTAAAAATCGTAAACTGGTTATAAATGAATTCAATGTAGACAATCAAAGTTGGGAAGAATTTAAAGTATGTTCATTTGAATGCGATATATGTTTTTCAAAATCAAGGATTGCGTCCGAAACGCCTTGATTATTTCGCAGAAACGCACAAAGCATTCATTCATCACATATAGTTTGTTGTTTGTTCAGTTTTGCCCCTCAGTACGACATAAACAGAATAAACAGAATGTTCACGTTTCAAGGTTAAAACGATTGCATCATTCCATAACTTCTCTACTTGTATTTTATTATCTCATTTAAAACATAAGATAAATTTTGGTTTTTTTTTCCGATAAATTGGAGAAAAATTGAAACAAATGGAAATTCGATCTAAACCGCAATGCACATTCACTTACCAATTCCAAAAACTTTCCAAGCGACAAACGACTCACTGCCATGTTTATTTAAAAATTTGTTTTCCGACAGTAGTAAAATTGAGAGAAAAAAATATTTTGGAGCTAGCCTTTTAACCGAGTTGATTCTTTCACTTCACAAACAAGACTGACAAGTGGACGCTCGCTAGCTCGTCTCTTCGATGAGAATTGTTTACACGCTGAAAATGAAATGAAGAGGAGAAGAGGGAAAAAATTCCCACGCGAGTGTGCGTTGAATTGTTACATCTAGGCGTATATAAGAAATGGAACTTCGAGTGATTGTATGCGTTATTTTTGAGGTAATCCGGCTTTTTTTCGCTGTATGAGTGTATTGTGTACACAGTGCACATACATCAACCGCGATATCAATGTTGGTGATCATTCATTTGCAAGTTAATGGTTCGAATGCGGCCTGTAATCGTCCACACTCATTCCGAATAAAAACATTGCGTAAGTTCTTATAAATACCTATAAATAAATGGAATGACAATCTTATGCGTTTCTTTTTCCTTCTTCTTCTTGTTTTCTGGAGCCGCCATACAAAAGAAGAAGGAAGCCCATAAAAAACCAGAAAAAGAACTATAATTAATTCCAAAATTTAAAGCCTACAAAAATTTTCCAATGTTTTTATATATAGAAGAATATAGAGGTTCGTGCCTCTTTGACCATCATGATAAAGCATCTAAAACCATTCTTACATTTATCATCATGCTGTTGCTTAATTCGTTGTCGTTGATGTCTTTTGAAGAACAAATTAAAAAAGCACGATTTCAGTGCTACCACAATATTCATAAAATAGGTTGGCCCAGTGTCCCAACATGAATATTTTTTATTATATCTATTGATGTCATGTGAGGGGAGCAAATGAAATTCTGCGAATTGATAAGTCGAGATTTCGGAACATTTTATCCGGTGTTTTGGCTATTTTTGCAGTCCAATTTATCGGAATATTATATGCGTAGAATTTTATGTGAGCAAAAAATAATTCCATTTGAATACACTTTGAACGACATAGAAAATATGGAGAATGTGAAATGATTTTTCAAATTTTCGATTAGTTGAAATGATAATGAGTGCATATATCAAGAGCAAGTAAGACATTGACAATAACAATAAACATCGTTTCATAAAATACCCGATAAATATTATAGCCCTATGGACCTAGATTCATAGAATACGTTCTTGTTATGTTTTTTTTTTCAAATTGATATGCGTGCATAACATAACACATAATATTTACAATTAAAATCCGAAACGTGTATTATAGTCGCTCTGGAAAAACTGTTCAATTGTAAACAGTTGAAAAAAGTTTACGCGTATCGCAATGTAGTCGATTGAAACCTTTCAATTGTCACAATGAGAATAACGCGTTCCCCGAGAAGGCACATTTTCCTATGATATTGTATTTCGTTGATGTGCAGCCAACTTCATGCGGATAGCCATCGACCTTGAATATTGAAATACACACAAAATAGCAAGAATAAAAGAGAGAACTCTTTCGGTATGGAAATTAAACATTTTGGGCTATTGGTGCTGCTTTTTTTTCATTGTGTATTACTTTGAATCGTGATTCGGCTGGGTGTTCGATTCGCTCAGTATAAAAAAATGACTAATCATAATTAATAAGACAGTACTAGGATCAAATTGTGAATAGAGTGCACACAAAATAAAGGAATGTGGAAATAAAATCGAATTTCATTTTGTTTCGTTTGTGTCACTGATGAGAAGAAAAAAAATTCTGTGAAATTCAAGTGGGCACAAAAAAAATGTCCACGATTCAACAATAAGCTATTTACAAAGTGCATTGAAAAAAATCAAAATTTTGTACATGATTAGTGTTTTTTTAAAGCAATTTCCCAATTATCAACGTAAATTAGAGTAGCTCAACAAATAATTGAATGTGGAAAAAGTAGAATTCATTGCAATAGATATTTTTTATGGTGCGAGCGAGAAGCAATCACACACACTTGAAGAAGATGACGTTTGAAAATGTCAGTGAATTGAGACTCTAATAATATATACGAAGACGACGACGACGGTGGTACGGTCGATATAAGTAGCCATGTGGTTAAAATAGCGAAATAATTGAGAAAATTACTAAGAAAAAAATAAAATCTAAGCTATCGTCAAATGTAAATAATACAATCATCATTATTATCAAAGAAGTTAAGCTAATAAATAAGAATGGACGATTAAATGCCGTGACGCAGCCTTCATTTTACCAACTTCACTACAGAGTCAGTACAGTGTAAACAACTAGATAAAGTGGAAAAAATCGAACATAAATGTTTAAAGTCATTGAATTATACAAGAAATTCACTTTATTTTGATTATTGGAAACGAATCCAAAACTAAATCAATTTCAACAATGATGGCTCACGTATCCACGGCTGATGGCGAACACGAACAAGTGTCGGAAGTGATTGCCGCAATGGTCATGCAAAAGGGCTACCGTGATGGAGCCTCTTTTATAAATAATGAGTGTGTTAATGGTAAAAGCGAATATTTAAACTGTGTATTGGATGTCATTCTAAATCCGGAAATGAATATCGATAATTTGGAATACATCGAGTGGTGCAAATGGCTCATAGCCGGTGGTCGTACACCTGATGAATTCGCAAGCATAGGTAAGGTCAATGACATTTTATGTGTGCACAGTAGTAACACGCAGCGCTCGTACTCCAATCATTGGAGTATTTCCAAATGGTTTAGTCATTACAAATTGAAATTTCGATTACATGAACTACTTACGTGTCGTTTGAATTTATTGTGTTGTTTTATTTTTCATCCATTTCGATATTTTCTGTGTTTTTTTTCTTTAAATAAATCTATCCTCGTGCGGTCATTCTAACCTTACATTTTTCTGTTTGTTTCTCTAATGTATATTTAGTTCGAACGTACGATAATCATGCCAAATGCGGCCTAGTTTGGATACCACATGTGGTCGCCTATCGATGCCGAACGTGTGGAATTTCGCCGTGTATGTCAATATGTCGGAATTGCTTCAAAAAAGGTGACCATTCCACGCACGACTTCAATATGTTTTTGTCGCAAGCGGGCGGTGCATGCGATTGTGGTGATACATCGGTGATGAAGGCCGAGGGTTTTTGTTCTGACCACGGCATCAACAACCATTCGGGAAGTTCAACAGTGCCAAAGGATCTAATGGCCGTTGCCGAGGCAATAATGCCACGTTTATTACTTCGATTGCTCTTTCATTTTCGAGATGATGGCAATATTAAAGCCTGTGATTCATATTGTAGTATGCTAATGGAACTGAATAATATAGGTGAATTAATGCGCAACGTTATGACAACAACACTACTCGATAAATCGGTACGTCAATAGTTTAGTGCAATCAAAAGCCATTATTCTCCAAATTGAAGAGCATTTCAATAGACTTATATGCTTATGTTTCTTTCCCTTTCTAGTTATATACTACGCTACTCAATCCGAATAATGCGAAACCGTATTCTCAGTTCTTAGAACGAAGTATAATCAAATACACGGATGCCAAAAGCAAGCTGAAAAGGTAAATAATGACATTTCGATTCGGGTAAAAACTTACATTTTTTATCTTTTCTTGAGCAATTAAATAAATAATCGTCATCTTTTTTATTGATATCCCCAGTCCGGTGGCGCCAAGTAAATATAAAGATTTTGCTGCTCTTCAAAGTGACATTGTGCACTCATCATTGTTGGAAGAGCTGATTTTCTGGACATTCAAGTATGAATTTCCGCAAAATTTTGTCTGTTTCTTATTGAACATGTTGCCCGATCCAGATTATAAGGTAATAATACTAACGATAGATCCATATGTTCTACAACCGTAACACACTGTATTTTATGTGTTTCACTCCAGGAACAACTCACACGAACATTTGTAATGCACTACAGCCGTATTCCAAAGGTGCTCGAAACATCAAGTGACCCGGATACGTTGAGCAATCGCGTGGTTCATATGAGTGTTCAGCTATTTTCGAATGAAAGTTTAGCACTTAAAATGGTCGAAGAATTGAATCTGTTACATGTGATGATCATTAGTTTAAAGTCAATGATGGCGCAAAACTTGATTCGGAATACATTACATGATGAGGATAGGAATACGCATCATGTTATCGACTGTGCAACAAAAGCAATGAAAGAGCATTGTTATTGGCCACTTGTTTCTGACTTCAATAATGTCCTTTCGCACGAATCGGTAGCGCTGGTTTTCCTTCGTGATGACGATTTAGTAAACATGTGGTTTCAATTTTTGTCGATGCTGCAAGGGATGAATGTAAATGTGCGCGAAGTTGGTAGTCACATCGAATATGAGCCGAGTTCTTACTACGCTGCATTTTCATGTGAACTAGAGGCCAGCGCATACCCAATGTGGTCCATTATATCGCATTTGAATGATAACACTCATGCTCAGCTAGCGAAGAAGATAATCATGTTCTGCACAAACTACCTTCAAGACTGGTTAAAAGCAATTTATCAATCGAAACACGATAAGGTTCGTTGTTTTCTTGTTATTTTATGAGCGATTTGTTGGATTTTGTTAGTCGAAATTGAAATCACTATTATTCGTTATTTTCACAGAGTGAAGTTATAAAAGATGACAAGAACGAAATGATGCGAGCATCATTTCATTTTCCATTACATCGATACCTGGCTGCATTCACCTGTCAGGCGGTCAGCAAAATGAATATGACGCTAAAAGACATCATCCCTTCACCTGACTTGCTCACACTCTTGATGATTCATCCACTTCGCGTTCAGGTAATGAATAAATTATTTTTGCAAGCGCGTCATTCGTTTATGTTTGTTTGTTTGTTTTTATTTATGTATGTATGTTGTAAGCGAGCAGTTGCAATCGCACATAATCTATTGTTATCTCGACCACCATATTTCTCAACCGTTGACATTTTGATACTTCCTATCACTTGATCATTGAGAATGATATTGTGCAACAGATTGCAATCGCTCGTTTGGGAGTGAAACTTTGTCGGAAACACTAACCTTCACCTGGGCATGTTTTTATTCACCATTTCACCTACCTTTTTATCACATTTGACGTGGATGTAGATCTAGCGAAATAGTATTTAATAATTTCATTTTATTAAAAAATGCCACGTTTTCTAGACTTTCCATTTATTTAATTTCATTGGTTTAAAAAATTACACGGTTTCATTTCTCTTTTTATGTTTTTTGTTGTAGTAAAATGTAGCAAATTTTGTGAATGGTATTTTTTATACTTTACTTTTGTAAATTTACAATTTTAATATCTTCAGCTTGTTCAGCCTGAGGTGGTGTCAAAATGTGTGGCTGAAAATCGTATGTAATCAGCTTCAGTCCAATAAAACCACCGTAGAGCACCTTCCCTTTATGGTATAAACCGGCTCCACTGAGAGCGACTGGGACTCGTGAGATGACATCTTGAGCGTCAATGTATGGCACAGTTGTTTGACCAACATCACGATCCAAATCGGTGTGTGTGAATTCGATATACTGATTCGAAGTTGAATCAATTTCCGATGGCGTCGTTGAAAGGACTGGAATATCTGGGTTCTTTAATTTAACCGGTGTTCGTTTGTCTGAACTGCTTTCGGTGTTATCGTTTGATTTCCAGAAACTGGTTTCTTCCGGATCAATTAGACGTCCGGTGGTGAAATCCGCTTCAGTTACTCGAATTTCCAGATTCAAATGTGTTCCAACAACACGCAATCTAATTCCGGTAACGACATGACTGTTCGGGGCTACCAAATCGTCCAAATCAATGGCTCGTTTGTCCCAACTCATGGTGTGATAATCAAGACCGTTTCGAATGCCCCGGTCGAGCAACTTGTAGTCACTCACCGATTTCCAGCTCAGTGTAGATGCATTTACAAAACCTCTTGCTTGTAGCACACCTTCTTGAATCTGGATGTGAATTATACGGTTTACTTTTCTGAATCTGACACCAGTCACCACTCTGTATGAAAAATGAAACGCAAAAAATCGATTGAATAATTGTGATTGTAGCGAAAATTTGACCTTAGCAAACATACTTATTAGCCGTGATATTCGAGGTAGCCTCTCGCAAATTGAAGTAACGGTCTGACTTTGGTCCTTGCTCATCACAGATACACAAACAGTAGCTACAATGCCAGAAAAGCCAGCGCCACCATGAGTCAACTTTACTGGTTCCAGTCGTGCAGCTGCCCGGCTTTCCGAGCAATCGGCCATTCTCATATTCAATGAACTCATAACGTCTATTACTGGACGCTTTCTAAAAACATAACATGCCAGTTATTTATTACACGATTCCATATAATTTGACAACAAATCTGCTTGTGATAATTGGAAAAAAAGTGTTTGACACTTACCGATGGACAAATCCACATGTCTGAATCGAAAAATTGGCAATTCAAGAGTTTTCCGCTACATTTTGGCTGGCGTGCACAGAATAATTCCTTGTAGCAGCTATACGACTCCGCGAATTGATAGGCGGCACAGTTTTCACGGCAGGTGTTATCGTTGTTCATGTCAACTTCATTTTCAATATAACCTTGCAACAACCGAGTTACAGTTATGAATGTTTCACCCTCGATGTGATGTCTTGGATCACAACGCCATACAGATCGACTTGCACGTTCCATCACCTTTCGCATTAGCAATTGTGTTCTTTGAACGCGATCTTCAAATCTTTCGCGCATCAAATGAGATTCTTTTGAGAAATTGCCTAACAAATTGGCGAGAGAAAATCAATGATTGCAAAAATTAGCTGGGGCTCAAACATGCTATTTGAATGACGTTAGGATATGTACAATATGAACTATTACTATCATTACAAACCTTTGCCGTATGTTCTTAAAATCATCCATGAAAATTGCATCATTGCGTATCCCTTGAGTTCGGCAATGGAGATAGCATTGTACATTTGGAACAGTACTTGTTGTGCTGACTGCTTTGAAATGCAAACCAGATTTTGAGCTTCCTGAAAATGCATTTAAATCAAATATCATGTAGCAATATATCTATAGCAATACAATGAGCTTATATTCAAGAAATTTTCAATGCAAGTGCATGGCAGATGTAAAATATTCGAATAATATTATTCTATTACCAGCATCACTTTATAGTACGTTCCCTGTTTAACCATAAAGTTTTCGATATTTTCTGTGGTGCCATTTATATTTTCCGATTCCGATAGAATTGTATCAGCCAAATCGGTCAATTCCAATCGGTTGAATTGTTCCGCATTTTTGTCAACAATCATTTGAAATGTTTCGAATAGCTTACGAATTGGCGTCAAACTCTCTTTCACTATATTCCACTCGTATATTTTTTCAAGCAAATAGAATTCGTTTTCATTGTAATCGATGTTGGTGATGTTTCGGTCGATAAATGTTTGATGTTGACTCAATATCTGATTCAGAACGCTCGACTGATCAACACCATTTTCAATTATACTCCATAATTCAGCTTCCAGTTGTAAATATTGTGCCCGCAGAAAATCGGTCGATGTGGCCCCTTTTGAATAGCCACTAATTGCGCACAATAAATTGCAAGAAATGAAGAAAGCAACGACAGCAATTTTGACCATTTTATACGTTGTCATGTTTATGTCTGTTCAGTTTATCCCTCTGAGTATAAAATGACAATTACATACATACAATATGTATTTCACGACGCACTGAAAAACTTCTATGAACACATTTCACACAGTGCAAAAGTGTCTCAAACTAAGATAATTTTTCGTTTTAGTGGGAAAAAATTTATTCGTTCCGCATTGATTAAATTACACTTGCTGTGATTGCTTTATTTGAGAACTGTTTCATTCTAAATGTAATCAATTTGAACTTGGGACTTTGACAGCGAAAAAAAATAAGTTGAGATTCACAAATAAGTGAAACAACAACGAAAACACACACACGCAGTTGAACTGTAGCGATTTTAATATCTTTGTTTCCGAATCAAATCAGTGAACAAAACAGATTTTTTTTATTTTTATATTAGTAGACTTCCGTAAATGTATTATGAGCGATTTTTGCTGTTGCTACTGCCGTTGTTGTTGGTGCTGCTGCTGCTGCTGCGATTCAACAACGTTTTAAAACATTTACTGGACGCGTTGACGTTTCAAATGAGACTAACTAATTAGCTGTAGCTGTTTTGTTGTTTGTTCATTCTCACTGAATGCCTGTACAGCAGTAGACACACTGATGAGCAGCACTACAACGATAACTTTTGAGACAAACACACACGCACACACACGCACACCATTATACAATGTACATTCATTATGTGTCCAATATGAGAGGGAATGAGACAAATGTTGAAATTGTATCTTTTTGACAGCATAATTTTGGCTCATGTCGTACACTCGCACTAACGTCGCTTGTTGCATTTGTGTTGTTGTTGCTTGGTTGCTGTTGCTCTGTGTATGTGTGCTATTGGTGTCACAATTGCATGATTTACTCAACGTTTCATACTGATTCACACACAAAATGATTTTTATATCATATAAACTTTTCAGTCGTTTCCTTTGTTCTCATGAATTGCATTTGATATATCTTTGTTTGTTTTTATGATTTCGAATGATATTCTGTTTGCTGTAGAAAATTGCAGGGGTTGAGTTTGCGTTCTTTTTTTTCATTTTGTTTACGAACGAGGGAAAATACTATTATTTGTTTAATTTTTGTTTTCAAAGATGTGGATTATCGAGTGTTGCCGGCATGCGATTATTTTTTTAATTTGTACACATGCTTCTGATGGTTTCGAGTGATATAATGTATTTATAAAACACATTACATTCTGTTCGCTTATCTCCCATCATATAAAATGAATGAGAAAAAAACTCTGTCGTCAATTACCTCCATGTTGTCTGCAAGTAGTTGAAGCACACCCACACTGCCGATATTTTCAAAATCCGTCGACCCGGTAACCAATAAATGAATTCTTTCGAGTAAACCCTGTACAGACATCGTGTCTTGTGCTATGATCCAATGGGCAAAACCTTCGAGCGTAAACCGTTCCAAATCATGATAATTCGATACATACGATTGCATTTTCTCATCTTGTGTTTGAATACGATTTACTAAATCGCTCAAATCATGCAATTTAAGTTCTAATTTCGTGTTCGCTCCGACGAAATTGGTGATTGATTCAACCGTCCACGAAGCAGCTTTCAATGTCTGTACCAAAAATAGTAGACAAATTAATAATGAAAAATGATCAGTAAAAATATACAGCAATTCGTTTGCATACATCATCCTCGAATGTGTTGATCTTCCGCGAAACTTCATTAATTTTATTCAGAATTTTTTTCTGTTTTTCTTTTCGAAACGGTAGCTCAACGCCACCGCCCAAATTCGTCTGTTCAACCAAATTCCATGTTTCGAGTAATGTGGATGCTATGTCTTTTCCCAATTTAACGACTTCAACCACATCATCTATTAAGGCTACGGCTTGGTAATATTTACTGCCAGGCATGCATACTGACATAAACAGTACTGTGTACAAAATGACACTTTTTGGGCTGAGCATTTTGGTTTCTTGTGGTATATTTCCTTAACTTTTAAAAAAATCACACGTTTTCACTAAAGTATCATCATTTGAGACAACATTGAGTCACGAATTCAATAAAATCATATCCAATTCTAACTGAATCTAGTTGAACACTTCATAAAAAAAACAGTTTCATTTATTCAATTTATTTCAACTGTCAGTCAAACACACTGAATCATAAACAAAGCACTCTTTGAAGCAAGACTCAATGTTGTAGAAGAACAAAAAATCCGGAAATTAAAAACGAAAAATAAACGAACAAATTTTCTGTGTGCTTCGATGGGTTTACAAATCGAGTCTGCCGTAGTTGGACAGAAGTGACAACTGCTTCAACAACTGAAAGTGACGAGCATATTCTTCAGAAAACAATACAAGCACACTGTGCCTCAAATGTGTCGTTGTATTTGTATGCTGCTGAGTGATTCAGTGTTTACACTTAAGCGATTATAGACATTGGCATAAGTTTGTTAATAAATACGTTAAACACACACAATTTTCTACAATACACGAAATGTATATATTATTTAAAAATAACCTATCGTCATACGTCTGCGTCACACGTAACTCTTAGGACCATCAAAACGATCAAGTCGTTTAGAAAGGCCGTTAAATACAGAACATATGAAGCAGAGTAATTGTTATTTTCAAGATGCTCGATTCAGTTGAAACAAATACTGTTATACATTATCATAGGTTGGATCGTTCGTTGACCGCAATATTATTATAATACATATCTATATAATGCGAGCTTCGAAACTAATTTACATATTCGCTTATAAACTATAGTTCATTCAATTGATGTCTACCTAATGTCTCTTTCGCCCCAACACGTGAATAGAATTCAAATGATAAAGCTTAACGTTCGCGCTAACCTAATGTTGTGCTGAAAAAAATTCATTCGAAATGCCATCACATGATACACTCACTCGTTTGATGCGGCCGTGTATAATGTTTCCAGCACACATAAAAATGAATCATACAGTCATTTGTGAGAGAGTTGCATGAATCATCATCCTGTAAGATGTTGACCTTATGAATGAAGTGAAACGAACTGAATCTCATTTTATTTAGGTTTACTGGATTTTTTTTCAAACAAAACTCCGATTTTTTGAAAACAATATTTAAACTGATTCCCACAATAATTCATTTCGGCCTTGCTTTCATTTTGCTTATAGCTTCGATTAATATTATTTCAATAGTTTCACGAGTAGAGAATATTGCATTTATAGCCCCCATTTTTTATTGACGTTGCAACTTTTCAAGCTGGGTTCACTTCTAATACGTAGAAGCAATCATGCTACATGCACTTGCAAAGTGCATTTATATCAATTCGTTTCACATGCCACTTCATTAAATTCAATTTTTCTTTTCAAATAATGTACTTATTAAGTGTAATTTAGTTTCATGTAGAATTGTGATCATTTCAGAACTCTATTATCATCATTTTTATGTAGACCCAATTAAGAGTGATATAAAAATTGATTAATAAATGTCAATGTAATATCATAACGGTAAATCGATATATCTAAGCGTAGTCTGAGAAATTTGATAGCATCTTAAGGAGAATAAACACGCCATTATTAAAAACAAATGAAAAAAAATATGATGATTTGCTAACACGAAACGTTTTCCATATTTTTAGAGTTTCTTCTACGAAATTTTGGCTGGAATATGGATACGAAATGGTTTGCAGATAAAAGGGCAAGCAATGACATACATCCAGGCGAACTTCTGCAATTCGATGGTCGATATGGACTTATATTTTCTACAAATATGCGCAATACAACTGCCGCCGAAAGTCTTTTTGCTGAACACGATTGAGTCATTCGGTGTGGGTGATTGGCTGGGCATGTGTCAGCTATCTCAACCGCAAGAAATGGAACAAGATTCAATGATGGAAGGTTTGCTAACATTCTTGTCGACGATTGTTTCATCACGAACAAACTTGGGGAATGACGAAAAGGCACAGTGCATAATCGAAATAAGTGCTTTGCTTGCGACTGGTGATAAAACCCATAGTCAACTATTAGAATTGATGCCAGAACGATCGGGAAATTCGCACACCAGGAACTTTGAACAATATTTGAATGAGTTATCCGTTTTCAAGCGGCCACCAAGTCTGTCTGAAAATTTGGAACAGGGTTTGTTCATGCCGACGGCTGATGTATGGGAGAAATATTATGATCCACTTCATGTGCTGCTGCGGGCTGTTCATCGGCGAGATTTTCAAAACTCAATGGATCGATTCCAGAACTATGTAAAGCAGGAGAAGAAAATGCCGAAAAGTGGAAGTCTTTGGCCACCATTTAGGTTGCCAGCTCCAGTCGGTGAATTTTACAGTGATCCATCGTGCATTCTGCATTCACGCATTTTGCACTCAATGATTCTGGGCATTTTATATCGTGCCGTACACTTGTACAACGTGTCAGAGCACATGTTATCGCTGGCTATATTTTTGCTGGAAATGGCCGTCACATCCACCAATAATGTGCCAAAGGATGCACTGGAATGCAATCAAAGTAAAAACTCGTTCACATCGTCCAGTGATATTCCGGAGCTACTGAATGTATTTTCCGGTGACTGTTTAGCAGCTAATCTTCGTCATCATGTCAGCCGTATCGCATTGACCTCAGTTGAACCACAAAATTCACCGGCCAACTACAGCAACACAACATTTGACAGTGACATTGAGTGGGATGTATCGGAAAATGAACCATTGCAAACTTTAATGCCAAATAGTGCACAAATGGAATTGGACATGGAAGAAGCACGATTTGATGTGGCACAAGATTTGAGCATGATTCGCGAACGGTATTTACCGCTGCGCAGCGGCGATTCAAACATGGATGTACGCTTGGAAGCTGGTGCATTACAGCCATATTCGTCTTTGCCACCATCAAATAATGCTGTTAATGCAATTGAGTACACAAGACGCGATTCGGATCCTGAGCCATCGGGGTCGACACATTTGGCTCTGCCGCCGGTACATGTGACCGCTGAAACTGGCATGGAGGTTGTTGTTCGTCACAATTTAGGCCTCGTTCCCACTGATGAAACACAGAGACCGCAAACCGAAATGTTTTCGCATGCAAATCCAGGTACAATTCTACCCTTCCAAAGAGTACAGCCCGTAGCGGTGCCAAGCCGAAATATGGACATCGTTGCCAGCACAGCAAACAATCAACGGAGAATGTTTTCGTCGGCATTCAAAGCGAAAATTGTTGAGGGAAGCATGTCAGACACGGATTTTATTGTGATTGAAGAAAGTATCCTGTCACTTTTGCTGAAATTGCATTCACAGTTGAGCGGAATATTGGACAGTTTTTCTCTAGATGAAGCAAATGAAGAAAGAAATGTAGACGCTATGGACACCAGCGAAGCTGGACCGTCAAGTTCAAATGCTAGTCAGACAAATCACAGAAACAGTAATCAATCGGAGGCGCCGCGTATCGGTGACGGCCCATTTTTCATTGGGAATTTACTGAAGAAAATAGCCAAAGCCGATGAAGGATGTGCCCAGTCAATAAATGAAATCCGACAGCGTTTATGGCCGAATCAACGCGAAAAACAAGCCGAACAAAGAGCCAAAGAAACGAAAGAGAAAGAGGAACGAAGCAAACGTGCACGCGAACGTCAACAGAAACTCATGGAAGAGTTTGCCAATAAACAAAAGCGATTTATGGAGCAAACCGCTGAGGAAATGGACTATTGCGACGATGAACAAGAAAATGACGAGGAAGTCACGCGAGAAAAAGAGTACGTGTGCATAATTTGCAATTTAACTAGCCCTAGCACTGAATCGAACCCAATCGGTTTGGTTGTTCTGATTGAGTCTAGCGGAGTCGTTGGTCATCGTAGAAAGTGTGGTGAACGCTTTAAATTACCACTTAACGATGAAGAAGCAAAAGCGATGACAACGGAACGATTTGCCACCGAGTGTGCACATCAAAATAGGTTGCTTACATACCGATTCGGCGAGGAATCCTGGTTTTTAACCAGCAATAATTCATTTGAATCAGGCATATTTGTACAGTCTTGCGGCCACTATGTTCATCTTATGTGCCACGAAGCGTACCTAAACTCACTCAGTTCACAACGTCAACAAAGCTTGAATGTTGAACGCGGAGAATTTTTGTGTCCAGTCTGTCGACAGCTAGCCAACGCAGTTTTGCCGCTCAGTCCACAAACGGAAACACCAACCTCCGTCGTTCGCTCGAAAGAAGAGGCGAAAAAAGAACATTTATTCAAAACGTTGTTGGGAGAGTTGACCATTCTAATCAAAGAGAACGAACAGCCTCCGGTAAGTTTTTACTATTTGTAGCCTGATTATCGTCCATTTTAAACATGACAATTTCATTTTCGTTTCCAGCCAACAAAATCAGCGAAACCGACGAAACTTAACGAAGCAATGGGACGCGCAATGGAAATAATCTCAGAATGCACTTACCCAAAACTATTCAAGCCGTCACATAGAAGACTATTCTTATTTGTTACATCTATAGCTCGAACCAATTTGGAAGCCGAAGTCATTCAAAGAGGCGGTTCATTATGTTCGAAGAATGCCTTGCGATATAAACCAAAGCGAGAGTGCCTGGGTAAATTTACCGTTCACATTAGGATATCATTCACGCCGATTGCGATGAGTGAGATTGCAAAGTATTTTCTAACCATTTACACTTTTCGCACTTTCAGTGCCTCTTTTGAGCTTATTGTCGGAGTATCTACGTCTGTTGGCAGGTTGGCCGCTTTGGCAATCCTTCGTGTCTTTGTACGAAGTTCAGTCAACCAACACCGCATCGGTGCCTGCGCACTGTCAAGAAATCATCCCTAGTTTGTTGGCAGATCCAATAGCTCTTCTGATTAAGTATACGTTATTAGCTCCACTTCGTATGGATATAGGTAAGATTTGAAATACACGCGCATACATACCACAAATTTATTTCATAATGCAAACCAATCTGAACGATTTTTTCTTCAATCCTTTTCTTCTCAGTTTACTTCACTTGCATCGTAAAAGTCATGTACAACTTGTTGTACTTTCAAGTCATTGTAAAACTATGCTCATCTCTAACCGAAGCCGAATGTGATCAGATTATTGCAAGATATGCAACAAATGAACCTATCGAAATTTCTGGCTTCAATAATTTGGGCTCTGTGTTGGCATTTGTTTTGAAAATCACGAACAAATGCGAACAATTTCGAACGAGTTCATCGTTTGCAATGAACAATGTTTCAGCGACGTTTGCGTCCACTTCATCATCATCATCATCATCATCATCATCATCGCAGCAACAGGAACCACATCAACAACTGAATTTGAATCTTATAGAACAACAACTGCAGAAGCTTTGTTTGCCTTTCCTACGAATCGCTACCCTGCTTCGGCATCATCTGTACGAGCAAAACCTACCCGACATCAAAGTTCCACAAATGGAATTCGTGTGCTTAGTCTACTTCTTGGAATTAGTCACAATTGATATTAATTGGGATAGTTTTGATGCTGCTAAAGCATTGTGTTTTGTGCCTGGTCACGAGCAAAAATTACCCGAGGTTTGGTGTAACCAGCTGATAAGTCTCAATCGTAATTCTGAGCCTGACGAGCAGCATCGAGCCATTGTCACGCTTGTTGACAATCAACATGCATTGTGGCAACAGCCAAGACTTCTCCGGCTTCCACGAGAATATGAAAAACTATTCACGGTAACTACCATCGATAAATTGCCGTACTATATAAATATCAGCATTAAATATATTTGACGTATGAAATTCTATCTGTTTTCAATTTTCAGTACTACCACGAAAAAGTGTGTCCAAATTGCAACAACGTGCCGAGAGAGTGTTCGATTTGTTTGCTCTGTGGAACGATTGTCTGTCTGAAGCAACGGTGTTGCGTGGAATCGAGCTGTTTTGAAGCTGTTAGGGTAAGCGATTGAATGGACTATAGAAGGATTCCAATAATATTTTCTCTTGCAATTGCAGCATTCAATGAGATGCGGTGGAGGAACAGGTATATTTTTGGTTGTGCCTTCGACTTACATAATCGTTGTAAGAGGACGGAGAGCTTGTCTATGGGGTTCACTTTACTTGGATGACTACTTTGAAGAGGATAGAGATCTAAGGTAATAAGAGCCAATTGAACCAATTTTGAAGCAATTGATAATCATTAAAATATCATTTGTATTCATTTTAGACGGGGAAGACCATTGTATTTGAGTGAAGAGCGCTTCAATTTGTTAGAATCTCAATGGCTATCACATCGTTTTGCTCATACAAAACATACTTGGGTGTTGCATAAAGACACACTTTGATTTCTCTAGAACAATTAAATCAAATAACAAACAATTCAATGGATATTTTTTAAACAAATAAAAACGGATGGAATATCAAATCATATGGAGCAATAATAATAATTCCAATTATGTCTGAAAGGAAAAGTCACATAAAAGAAGTTCAACTAAACAAAAAAGATAAATACGTACATACATGAAAATAATTGCTACACTCTGTATAAAAAAAAATATAAAATAGATTAGATGCACAGAAATTCATATGTTTTGTCCTTTATTTTATTCCATTAAACCTATAATAAATATTAGATTTCTTACAATGAAATATTTATTATTCTGTCTTCAATGATAATTCATCAATTTTGGTTTATCGATTGATGAAAGAGGTATTGATTCATTTTATTTTTTTATTTTTCTTCGAATAATGATTTGTTCCGCAATTCATCTTAAGCATCTGATTTCAGTACGGTAAGTGCCTGTGTGTATCGATATCATTTTCTTTGAACGAACAGTACTCGCACAGTTTCAAATTTCGCTCCAAGAAACTGAAAGTTGACGTTCCCTCTGGCAAAGCTTTCCACTCACTGCTGACTATGAGTTTATGTGGTGCTGCTACATGGATAAAATGTGGCACAGCTTTGAGATGTGCATATGACAAGTCCCCTCGTTTGTAAGCTCATGATGAGATGTGCGACATGATGCTTTTATGCGTGATTTTGCGCTGTACGAAAATCGATATTCATTGCATCCAAAGAAAACAAGCAGAGGAGTACACCCAATTGGTTTACTTATCCCATAAAATCTACAACAATTTTAAGAATTTTTAACATTTTTTTTAAATATAAAATCACCTCGTTCTAATCAGTCTTGCAATAGTAATAGTTAAATACATCGAAATAAGAACTTTTAAAATGTGCTTCCAATATTTTTCAAGCATTTCGTACGAATAATTCCGAATTTCTTCTCTTTTTAAGAGTTTTTCTTCTGTTATTCAAGTTATCGGTTTTTATTCGATTCAATTTTTTGTGTAAACGCACAAATCCTCATAATAGTTCATGTTTTAACTTGGAATTTTATTGATTGTGCAAAATATGTTTCTCAAATACACGATTGTTCTTTTATATTGTTTACACGGAGGTAAGTTTTGCACTTTTTTTCGCGAAGAGCAAAAAGGTGAAACACATAGATCTACCAATTCGACCATTCTGTTACAGTTATTGGGTCAGAAGATGAAGAACGTTTGGTGCGAGATTTGTTTCGTGGGTACAACAAACTTATCCGCCCCGTACAAAATATGACCCAAACAGTTGATGTACGATTCGGATTAGCTTTTGTACAGCTTATCAATGTTGTAAGTATTGAGCATTTATAATTATTGTATACAAAAGTTTGATTTCAACAAATGTTGTTTGCATAATAACGATTTTGACATTTTTTTCCTCTCTTATCAGAACGAAAAAAATCAAATTATGAAATCAAATGTTTGGTTGCGATTGGTTTGGAATGACTATCAATTACAGTGGGACGAGTCTGAGTACGGTGGAATTGGTGTTCTCCGATTGCCACCGGATAAAGTTTGGAAACCAGATATTGTGTTGTTTAACAAGTAAGACTTCACAGTAAATTATTCGAGAGAAATTACGAATTGGTAATGATAATGTATTTTTAAATTGTGGTGTTCCACAGCGCCGATGGAAACTACGAAGTGCGATATAAATCAAACGTTCTGATTTATCCAAATGGTGAAGTGTTATGGGTGCCTCCCGCTATATATCAGAGCTCTTGCACTATTGATGTTCGTTACTTCCCATTCGATCAACAAATGTGCGTCATGAAATTCGGCTCGTGGACATTCAAGTAAGAGCTCACAGCAATTTAAATGGGAAAAATCACGAATTTTCAATATTAATAATGTCTTATTAATTTGTGTTGGCCATAACAGCGGAGATCAAGTGTCGTTGGCATTGTACAATAACAAGAACTTTGTCGATTTGTCCGATTACTGGAAATCTGGAACATGGGATATTATCGAAGTACCAGCGTATTTGAATGTGTATAAAAATACTGGACAACCTACGGAAACTGATATCACTTTCAACATCATTATTCGGCGAAAAACTCTGTTCTACACCGTGAATTTAATCTTGCCAACAGTATTGATTTCATTCCTCTGCGTACTGGTATTCTACCTGCCCGCTGAAGCTGGAGAAAAGGTTAAGATGCAACAATTTCTATATTGAATGGTTCTCAACAAGGTTCATGTTTTATATTTTGAATAGGTCACATTGGGTATCAGTATTTTGCTGTCACTGGTTGTGTTTCTGTTGTTGGTATCGAAAATCTTGCCGCCAACCTCGTTGGTGTTACCATTGATTGCCAAGTATCTGTTGTTCACTTTCATCATGAACACCGTGTCCATTCTCGTCACCGTTGTAATCATCAATTGGAATTTCCGAGGTCCGCATATAGATTTACTTTTTCGTTACGTTAATATTATATTATTGTCTTTGAAAATAAAATATTATTAAGATTTTATCTTAATAAGTTTTCAAAGATAAGAACATATTATTAACCTTTTGTTGGTCTTTCGGTTTTGCAACATATTCCCGTCTCTTGGGGCATACAGTGCCCCATATGTATTTTATACGAAAACTGGACTGTGATAAGAGAAAACGATTTGATGTCTTCAGCAAAGTTATAGTAATCTATCCGCTCTACAACTTTACAGAAGATACCATCCTAGATACCATCACGTTATCTCTTATCAGTTCCACGAAAAACGCGAATAATCGCCACCTCATTTTTAACGGATTTAATTAGAGATATGAGATATCCCATTTCAGCAAAATTGTAGAGCAGGTTGAGTACTACATTTTTTCTGAAGACATTATTTCGTTATCTCTTATCAGTTCTGTGAAAAATGAGGAACCATGTATTTGCGTGTTTCGCGTTTTTTCCGTATTTCGCTTAACTGATAAGAGATAAGAGATAAGTGTCTTCAGCAAAAATGTAGTGGACCTCAAGTGCTACAACTTCGCCGAAGTCAGCAAATCGATATCTTTTATCACAATCCAGTTTTAATACGAAATACACTTGGGGCACTGTATGCCCCAAGAGACGAGCAACGGACATGTGTGCTTCAGAGACAATATCTCACACATGCTTACACATATGAACATGAAAATTAAGTGGTGTTAAGTTGAAGGTTCAAGCTATCGAATGGTACTAAATTTAATGTAAGATTTTTGATTTTTAGTACTTTTATTTACAATTTAAAGTCACCTCGGGCACTGTATGCCCCAGAGCGTCTTATGAGCTGATGTCAGCAGCACTAACTGACGTCAGTTGCTGAGCTCAGCTGCTGACGAGTATGCGTTGCGTTGTTTTAACGCATTTGAAGTAAAAATTTCATATTCTCTCCATGCAAATTTGATTTGTAAACCAAAGAGGAATATGAATTTTGTACTTCAAATGCGTTAAAACAACGCAACGCATACTCGTCAGCGGCTGAGCTCAGCAACTGACGTCAGTTAGTGCTGCTGACATCAGCTCATAACACGCTCTGGTATGCCCCAAAGACGAACAAAAGGTTAATATAACGTGTTGATAAATTGTTAAGATCGATTATTTGCCACTACAATTATTAAAATACCATCTTGAATTTTTTTGGGGGGAATCTATAGGTCCCAGGACTCACAGGTAGGGTTTGAAGCGTTCTTTCAGTGTTTTTTCTTTTAAATTTTTGCAGATCCGTTAAAAAAACGTCGAAAAAACGGTTTTTTTTTAAAGAACATTACAGAAAAATAACGTTTTTTCATCATCGTTTTTTTTTGTCATCAATTGTCGGAACGTTTGTAAACCCTACTAACAGGATGCCGTCGTGGATTCGAACCGTGTTTCTGCACTACCTACCGGCAATGCTTTTGATGAAACGACCACGTAAAACTCGTCTACGATGGATGATGGAAATGCCGGGAATGAGCATGGCACCTCAGCAGCCCAATCCTTATGGATCTCCAACCGAATTGCCAAAACATATCAGGTGGCTGTTGATCATGGGGAATTTCATTGCACCAACAAATTGACTAATGGTGCTATTCACATTTGTTTTTATCTAGTGCGATCGGCTCTAAACCATCCAAAATGGAGGTAATGGAATTGTCGGATTTACATCATCCCAATTGTAAGATTAACCGCAAATTGAACAGTGGTGATTTGAGTGGAATTGGCGATCGTCGGGAAAGTGAGAGCTCTGATTCGATTATTCTCTCGCCAGAAGCAAGCAAAGTAAGATACTGTTACCATTAAATGTAATAAATTTAGAATTTATTTATAAAAAGCATTTCATTTAAAGGCAACTGAAGCCGTGGAATTTATTGCTGAGCATTTGAAAAATGAAGATTCATACATTCAGGTTAGATGAAAATTCGTTATTTTTCAGAATACCCACACACACACACACCATTATCTTCTTCACAATTAAACTAATTTATTTAATTATTTTGTAGACGCGTGAGGATTGGAAATATGTGGCTATGGTGATCGATCGTCTTCAGCTCTACATATTTTTCATTGTGACTACCGCAGGTATTGTATTTGTTTATTAGCGTTAGCTCTTTTGGTTATATTTGTGTTTATACATTGAAATTTTCCATTATATGCTTTTTGCTTTTCTTTTTGCAGGCACTGTGGGAATACTCATGGATGCGCCGCATATCTTCGAG